CTCTCAGTCCTGCTCCTCCTCCTTCTCCCCATTCACACAGCACACACACACATTCACTGAGACACCTTAACGAGCTGTGAAAGCTAGCTGATGACAGAATAGGAATCACAAGACACGTTCAGTCTGAAGGCTGGCTTATCCACATCCCTGTGGCCGGTCCAGAGCTGACGGAGGTTGCAGCCAAAAGGCGTGATTTTACTGTTCTTACTCGGTTTAGGTGGAGCCAGAAGCCCAGCACTGCGTTTCAGCTCAGGTCATGATTTACTTTCTGACAGGGTTCATGATGTGGCCTACATCTGCTATATTAACCTGATCATTTCGGCCTGTTTTCACTCTTACATCCATTGCCCCCCAATGCCAAACTTCCCCCGGCTACATCCTTCAAAAGCCAAGATGTACACATAAGCTAGCAGTAAGCGATTAATATCACCCACATGACGGCTTAGCTTTCACGACCAACAGTCGATAGAAAGAAATTGCTGAGCGATACAGACACACATCACACTATATTGCTACTGATTGTGATATGCTTTGCCAATATAAATGTTTTTTTTCAATTATGATGAACAAATAACGAGTGATGCTTCAAGAACGAACTTTGACCAACTAATTTCATATGTGAAAAATGTGAAAGATGTTCCTGACATGTATGTGCACATTTTGTAATCTACTAAGTCATTAATTTCATATAGCAGTGCATGTCTGCATGGGTGCCTGTTTGTTTTAACGCTTAACTCACAATTTGGCAGACTGGCTGGTCCTCCTGACACATCTGACTCTGGAGATAAAACAAACAATATGTACATTAAATGTACTCAGACAGGCTATCTTGACAATGTCAACAAAACTGTCTTTGCTACAGCCTCACTTTGACAGAAAATGCTCCGAGTTTGAGCAAGAAAGACAGACAGTGTAGGTTGAGATCCGGACGAACATGTAACAACCTCAGCGGGTCTGGGACCATGATCTGAAATACAGATAGTTAAGGAAATAGTATTTACTGATGTATTGATAGTCAAACATTTAAAACATCAGAAAGAGCCATAACTACATACCCCCCTTTAATTAAGTGCCACAATAAATATTTACCATCCTCACTGACAAATACTCAAAAATGCGATGATCTCTTTTCTCATGTTCATCCGTGGCCCATTTGACTCGTCCAAACATGTCATGTTCTTTGCCTTTCTTATTAAAACATGTTGTTGTTTATAGTTAGCTTAATGAACAAAGAATTGCCTAATATTGCAACATCTACTTTTTTAAGTGAGATTACACAATGACAAGCCTGATTATTGTTATCATTCAGTGGTTCATGCACACCTAAGTACCTGTTTTCATTACATGAAGTTTTTGACAGGAGGCTTTGTCTCAGGGATGCAAAATGACGTTGGAATCATATCAGTATCTTATCAGATAAAAACGATCATCTTTGGACAGATGTTCAGATTGGACTGATATTTCAAACCGATATTTGGTGTCATAGTTACTGTACTCTAGAAGAGCAGAGTGTTTAGGTGACGCTCCGCTACTCTGCCTACAGAAATAAATGTTGTATTTCTCCATAATGCTAATTCATTCTCAATTTCTACATTTTAAAAATGTGTTTGTGTCAGCACTGGCATCATCAGGTATTTGTCCATCATATCATTTCCTATATCAGTGCTTCACTACTTTGGCAAAAAAAATCCCTGGTGAATCAACTGCTCAGTAGCAAGAGACCATGCCATGCATACTGTTTCACATTTACATTGATCATATTAGAATTTTATTTTTGCACCTTTCTCACCTCGAAGGTTTGCTCCACCAAAGGACTATGGGACAGCCACACTTGGTTCTCTTAAAAATTGAAGAATGGATTATATCCTGATAAACACAATTTATCATGTAGTAATTTGATATTCTATAACGTTAAACAGTTTAGTTGACAAGTTTCCATTTTGAAATGTAGTCTATGCTCCAATTAACTAGCTAGCTAGCTAAGTTAGTTAACGTTAGTTTGGCTAGCAACAGGTTCTAACGGCTAACTAACTTAGCACTAACTGGTTATCTAGCTGACGAGTTTTAGGGAGATAACGAATTCTATAACGTTAAACAGTTTAGTTGACAAGTTTCCATTTTGAAATGTAGTCTATGCTCCAATAAATAATACAACGTTATTAATAAATTTAAATTGGCTCTAAACACATACGTTGTTAGCTAGTTAACTGTTTTTGTTAATTTGGCTAGCAATAGGTTCTAACTGCTAACTAACTACTTAGCGCTAACTGGTTATCTAGTTAGCTGACTAGTTGTAGGGAGATAACGAATAGGCTAACTTGTAGAATAAATACAAAAAGGAACAATGATGATGTCAGCTATCAATAACCTTTATTACTACTATAAACACGTTAACGTGGTTATAACGTTACTGGCGCTAGCGTTAGCTGGTTAGCTTGACTAGTTTTACCGCGGTAAATCCTTATAGGACTCCTTTATAACGCCTTTGATCACCAGTAGTAGGAGGAACTCTGCTAGTATCAGTTAACGTTATCGATAAGCATTACTAAACTAAGCTAAATGTACTGCCACATTATATTTCGCATTTTGTGTAATTAGAATAGCTACACATGTCTGGCTCGTAGTGTCTGACCTTCAGAAACACACAAGCAGTAACCGACGTTTCCACCAACAGACAAAATTTGAATTTGTCTCGTTCTGGTGGAACAAAGAGTTCAGACGTTACTGAAAGATGGACTCCCTCAGAAAGAATCCACCCGGGTGTCAAAACGTCCATCTTTGGTTACGCACGCACCAACAGTTTGATACAAAACTAAAACTCTGTCAACAAATGACTAGAAAGTCACGGTGTTATATTGATACCAGTCGGGAAAAAGAAACTTATTTGCAGCCTTGGAAATCTTAAAGAACCCATACCGCTGAGAAAGGAATTTCCTTTCAAATATTAAATATATTTTTATATCGTATGTAATATTAATGTTTCAAAACACAGCACCCATTTTCCCGTCCATACAGACCATATTTGTAAATTAAGCCGCAAAAACACCTGATTGAGTTCATCGTATTTGTGATGTCACGAAAACCAGTGTGTATTCACACATGCAGCAGTTTAGCCCCGCCCATTCACAATGAAGTTACGTTTCAGCTCCGCCTGCTTTTTGAACGGGCAGCCAAAAGACCCCTTAAATACATGATGCTGGGGATGTTTACCTAATTTCTAGTTTATTAATATCTGAACTATATAAGTTTGGTAAATCTCCTGCCTTAATCATCAACAATCACAGATTGACTACTCATCATGAACATGTGAGGCTGTTCAGGATATACTGCCCACAATAAAACAAGTAATGTTATTTGTTGGAGGCCTCCTACAATACCAGTATTGCACAGGCCAGCGCTGTAATAGTGATTAAGAAACGATAGAAGAAACATTATGACCACCGCACAACCACCAATGACCTGTGACTAGACGCGACGTTCAAGGATGAAGCTTTTCAGCCTCAAGGCAAAATAAATATTCTGTCCTTCAGATCAGAACCGGTTGTTCTGTGTGAAACCTTGAACAGCACTCAGCTGCTCCAGACTCCAGATAACCAAGTGAATGTGAACCATAAACTCTGGGCAAACACTCACAGAGGGCTTCATCACAGCCATACTGGGCACTTCAGATGGTCCATCTGTTCCGTTCTGTTGGTAGTTCCACTCCTGACCTAAATAAAATCTACCCCTGGCTTATGTACATTAGGCTGAAATAAATGAAATTTAATAAGATCAAAAATGTTATGAAAGCAAAATGTTTCTCCCATGTTCATGCAGAATAGTTGCTATAAGAATATAACACAATATAAATACAAAAGCTCCTTTAGTTAAAAGGGTTGTTTTTCCCCAGTAATCAGGCACTACGTTCTAGTCATTGTGAGCAATTGGTGGGTTCTTAGCGCCACCTAGTGAACCAAAAGCACTTCACAATCTCAGAGGGACAGACATCAGTTAATCGAATTGGAAGGATTGATGCAGTTATGTTTGGTTTTCATTCGGTTAGCTGTCCCTTTAGAGTGTTCACTAATTCACACAGCATGATGGCTTTATACTCGAGGTTAATTAACACAACTTAATATACTTGACTCTAAACAAGTTTTTCCTGTCTACATCTTGTATATTTTTCTGAAGCTCAGATCCATTTCTGTAAATAGATGCTGGACAGAAAATAAACAGAGATAATGTATATCAGATGTTCAAAAGGTTTAAAATCACTATTTTCAATAATATAAAACCAATTCTGTTACAGATACATGTATAATTTTAATATGATGCTAATATTCTACTGTAGGAAGCAGTAAAAATGAGCAAATTTAAGATGATAAACTCAGCTGTAGATGATTTCACAATAACTGGGAAAGCTCTACAACATCAAGAATAAACTTACAATAAACTCAATATCCACAAATAGCCATTTATATGAAATTTGTGATAATAATTGTAAATAGATTACATTGTACTTAATAACATTCGCTTTTGTCTACCAGGTAATAAGTTCCTCTCAGTGGCCAGTAGCCTAGTGGTAGGAACAGTCAGCCCTCAACAGGAAGGTTGGGTTCAAATTCCATGCCTGACTAGGTAGCCCTGGTTGTGCCCTTGGGCAGGGCACTTCTCCCATTGCCCCTAGGCCGAGCTGCCCAGACTGGGCATAGTTAGGCAGCAAAATGACAAATTTCCCTTGTAAGACCAATAAAGTACATAACATTGTTCCCAAAATACTTTAAATCGTAAATAAATCATGTTTGTGCATTTTGGTGTCTAGTTTTCAATGTATTACTTATATATGTGTAACTGAATATGTTATTTAATGATTATTATGAGAAATGATTTCAAACTTCTGAATGACAGAGCATATACTGTGATTTTCTTCAGATGTGTGTCATGTGTGACCCTTTTTTCCAAGGGTAAAAATAACATTTCAAGCTGTGCGTGCAAGAAAACAGTTTACAAAAAGACAACACTAATGATCAATACTCTTTATTTAACTCCAAATGAAACAGATAAACAATAATAATTATAATACACAAATGAGTAAGCACACTGCCTATGTAACAGTGTGGCTGGCGGAGGACAGATGGCAGGCTGTGCTCCCGTGCCAGGGTTCACGGCCGAGGTTCTTCATTGCCAGTGTGATGTGCAGGAGGTGTGTAGGACTTTTCTTTGATCAACTTGTCCCTCTGCTTCTGAATCTCATGCAAACGCTGGAACTGGGAGAAGACATAATATTGTCAGGAACTGTGGTCTACTGAAAGTCACCAAAAACAGTCCTTAAGAGTTAAGAATGAACAACATTCAGGCAAAATGCAGCTGGTCACTGCAGCATTTAACTGAGACATGTACTGAATCATTATCTATAACAGATGTTTACCGTCTTCTCACGGTGCATGCATTCATAGAAATCTTCAAACTCCAGTTTGCATTCCCGTTTAGCTCGAGTTTGGCCAATGCCGTGTGAGCATTCTATCCAGTCCTTCTCAAATGCATGGCAGCGTGTGGCTCGTCTATGGGGCTGCTCCCCGCTCTGGGTCAGGATCCAGCTGTCCAAGTTGATGCCCAGCTTTGACTGAAGGTCAACGAACGGCATAGTTCTATGAAACATAAACACATATGACCAGCTATGTCAAGTACGAATATCATTGCTTTCTTCTACAAGCAAGGATGTTCAGCATTCATTCATATCTTTAGTGTCCAACCCCCAACCAAATGTGCAACACTGAACAAGTTTGGGGCAACAGCGGACATTCCAGATGTTTTGACTGAAACACTTAAATAGAAAATATCATGGAAACCCAAATTTTCCTCACATTTTGACAATAAAGAGTTTGGTTTAGTTTGTAAACACTGTTAAAGTTTCACACCATACTCTTCACTCTCCAGTCCTTGCTATGTATGTATACTAAGCTGTGAAAACAGGGTGTTTAAAAATTCGGTGTTTTGTGACAAAAACCAAAGTATTTTACATATATCCACCTAATCAGCCTACAGCGATTTAGCCCCACCCATTCATGTTGAAGTTACAAGGACTGTTTCAGCCTAGACTGCGTTTTAACCTCTTATTCTCCAGAGTATATTTTGGTTTTTCCTTCTGAATTTACATGACCAATCGTAAGACAAATTATTCAGTAACTACATGAAATAAATGTCAATTTTTATGTTATTTATTTTTTGTAAAAGCTCCCCTCAAATTAACAGAAAATATGTTTTATGATCATACACATATTGCTGTATGCTTACAATTTACTGCTGAAAGCCAAAAATTTTAGACGCTCTTTGTACTTTTTTTATGAAAATAATTTTTACAGAGCAGATCACTGGAGACAGTTACAGCTCTCAAATGACACCCAGCTTTTGAATGTAGCTTATGAAATATGAAAGTTATGAAGAATATGACCAAGTGAGTTTTGGAACCACCGGTGGTCTCAAGGAGTTGAAGAGGTTAAAGGTCATGTAAAATGAACTGTGGCTGTTTTTGGTATATAAACCCACATAAATGTTATAAGTGGACCTCAAGGGAACAAAATAAAAGAAATCCAGCATATGAGGTCTTTAAGCATGCAATGTAGAAGTGCTGGGCAATATATCACCTATAGGAATATACCAGACATAGTGATACTGATTTAGTGGGGTTAGGACAATTAGAATTGCACTCATGATATAGCTAATGTCCATAAAGTAGCATGGTGCCCGTTCCTGGTCCATCTTTAGAAAAATACTGAGATATTGAACTTAGTCAAAACCGCCCAGCACTACTAGCAATGCATAGGCTATTCATATTAAAACGGTGATCAAATCTTCGCAGTAAAGTTCAGGTACCCCGGGGTCTCCAGGGGGACCTCCTAAAAGAAGTTACGTTTACATAAACCACCCCCTTTAAGAGTAACGGCCAACAGTTAGTCCTCTTCTACACAACACATGTCTATATGTTATTTACATGAAGTACCATCTGCGGCTCACTGCAGTGTGAATGTCTATGACTCAGTTAACAGTACTGGGTTTGCTCTCCGCCCCGTAGCGTTATCGCTCTCTAACATTACCCGGTAACGTGAACTCGCTACAAGCTAAAAAACGTTAGCCAAACGGCTAACTCGCTATCTTGCTAACGCTAAGTAGTGCTCGCTTGGAAACATTCCGGTAGAAACAGGTCAAGAGATAAATACATACACGTCTACAGAGGTGTTATAGAATTACAGACTGTCCCTGCGATACAGAACTGAATGAATATTTAAAAGGCGAATCCTCACCGAGCGGCTCCGTCTCACTTTAACCTTCCCAAAGCTCCCTGACGGCCTACCGTACAGAGGTGTTGTTTGCGGAGTACTATTTACGACACTGCCGTAAAGCTAAGCTTGACACCAATGGCTGTGTCCCAATTTGCCTACAGAGCACTGGTACACTATGAAGTACATACGTAGCAAGAACGCTGGCTAATGAAAAGCAATAGTTATGTATATGAATTGGTTTCTAATACACAGGTTTATAGTGTGAGACGTCGCATAACCTACTGTTCTGTATGCTGGTACACTGACATTAAAGTCATCCTGGAATAAAAACTGACCTTTCATTAGTTTCTCATCTCTAGCCATTAAGCATGATTCCTCACAGCATATAATTTACAGGACAAAATTCTTCCAAAATTCCTGTGCTTCACTCAGAAATGCAGCATCGTACAGAAAAAAGTGCTGCCCTATGTGATGACAACGGCTGAGCTATCTGTGGTACCCAGTTAGCAAAATGTGTCTGGCTCACTTGTGGGCCACCTCCTTGGTTTGTTCTGGCCCAGTATATGGCTGGGTCCTCAGCCCAGATCTGGCCCGCACACTGTAAAGTGAGTAGAACTAAACGATATGGCCCAAATCTGGTCCCAATCTGGCCCAACTACACTGTTGGTCCACAATATTCACACCAGAATTGTCCCACAAATGTAGAAACAAGGAAAAATGGTATGAAGCTGTTCAAAATCTGGCCCTGTTCTGGCCCGCATGCTTAACATCTACCCCGTAGTCAACGAACACTCACAGAGGAAAGCAGAAACAGCCCAAAACTGTCTGCTATGTGGGTAAATGCATCTTTCACCATTTATTCCAAGGAGAACAATGAGTTGATGGACACCAGACATCAGAACATGGCGATGTGCAAAGATTAACATCAGTCGTCCATTGGAAAAGCTGAACATTTGGCCAAATATAATCATGCCATGGAGAGAGGCTGGAACAGGCCTTCAGTCAGTCATGATGATGTTACAGTCCAACACTAACGATCTGTAAGAACAGAGAACTGCAACTTTGGTGAGCCTTTGACTAGCAACACTATACCCTTCTTTGAAAAGAGTGGTTTTTGCTTACAAGCACTCATTCACAGAATAAAACATTAAAGGACAAAAAACATGTAATTCCAAAACTCACAAAAAACAATAAATGTAATTCTAACCTCAGCTAGAGGAAATAATAATAATAATAATAATAATAATAATAATAATAATAATAATAATGCTTGAGTAGTTGTGGTTTGGAACAAACTAAAAATGGCGGATAGAATTCTGCACACTAGCTAAGCTTTCTACTTAGGACACAAGTACGGAGATTGGAGCGCTGCCCGTGCCGTGCGACTGTAGGGGGCGCTGTGGCTAAGCCTCAAGCCACAAGACTCTTCAGAAGCGCTGCAGTCATGTTTATTCAGCTGAGATTGCCTAATAGGTTATTAACTTTGATCAGATATTTCCATAAAAGAACAAAGAAGGAATAACGCGGAAGCTGGAGAGTTTCAGCTTTGTTCTCAGGAGGTTTGAACGCTGGGCTTCTATGACCGACTACTGGACTAACCCATAAAGGATATCAATGTATGAAAAGTGTATTTATTAAATACAACCCCGTTTCCAAAAAAGTTGGGAGAGGGGGTTCAGTCCCGAAGTGGCATCTGGCAGCAGGAAGTGGCAACTCCGCCGTCCGGAAATGGCACGTACTGGCATGTGCCACTTAGCGAATGGCACCTGACACCGATAACTGGTAACGAGAGGCACATGCCGCTCGTGCCACTCGGTTAGTGGCACTCGCCAGTGGCACCATGTATAGACTGTTTATCAGCGTATTTATTAAAGAGGACAAGAGGAACGCAGGCTTGTGTTCTTGGTTTTATTTATTATTTTTTCAGGGGTGGCGCTAGCCATTTACTGAGGGTGAAGGCACTAGCAATTTACTGAGGGTAAAGGCACTGGCATATACCGCTCAGGAGTGGCACTAGCAATTTACTGCTGGACAGCATTTTGCTGGGTGGTGGGGGAGATAATTATATTTACATGTTACCAAGTGCTAAGTTTTGAAAATAGCACCTCATGCTGTTCATAAAGGAGTCAGTAGTGGAAACCATCACAAAATGTGACAAGAAATTGATTGATTGCCCCCTTGACCTATAATCATCCATACTGTCAAGAGCTCTCAACGTTACATCAGTTAAAGTGGGGATAACTTAATGTTTTAAACACACAGGGGTTTATACTGAACTGTCACAGGGGTGGTACCCTCAAGGTACATCTTGAGTACCTTTTATTTGGGGAGCGTAATCTATTGCAACTATATTGACTGAACAGACCCAGTCTTGTCTCCATGCTTTTTTATTTTATTGTTCTGTTTTAGATTATGCAAATCAACAAATATGTAACCTTATATATAACCAGTACAGTTCCTTTTATTTTACATTGCACGTGCTTTAAGATTACTCACATAATTCAAACTTTAAATACCCCATATACCATGAGAACAACACTGTACAATACAGCGTGGCGAGGTAGCTTTGTGACTGTAAATGTTACGCAATAGCTCAGGAACTCCGAAATTAGTAACAGAAACACATTCACAAGAATTACTGAATACAATTATTGACCAATATTGCTTACGTTTGAGATCAGACTTTCAACTTGTGCATTTACCTGTGTGATGCAGGCTAATCAAGAACTATTTTCAAACCTTGGAACTTTAACTGGTAACGAGAGGCACATGCCGTTCGTGCCACTAACCGAGGCACATGCCAGTACGTGCCATTTCCGGACGGCAGAGTTGCCACTTCCTGCTGCCAGATGCCACTTCGGGACTGAACCCCTGCAGAAAGTTGGGACGCTATGCAAATATGTAAATAAAAATAGAATACAAATCATGTAAACCATATTTTTAAAGGAAAATACTACAAAGACAACATATCAAATGTTGAAACTGGGAAATTTTATTGATTTTTGAAAAATATATGCCCATTTTGAATTTGATGCCAACAACACGTTCCAGAAAAGTTGGGACAGGGGCATCTTTACCACAGTGTTTCATCACCTCTTCTTTTAACAACACTCTGTAAGCATTTGTGAACTGAGGAGACACTGCTGTAGTTTTGAAAGTGAAATGTTTTCCCATTCTTGCTTAACATAGGATTTAAGCTGCTCAACAGTTCTGGGGTCTCCTTTATCATATTTTTTCATTTCATAATGTGTCAGATGTTTTCAGTGGTGACAGGTCTGGACTGCAGGCAGGTCAGTTTTGCTGGATGGCAGAATATGTTGCCAAAACAGATATATTGTTCAGCATTAATGGTGCCTTCACTTATGTGCACATCACCCATGCCATGTGCACTAATGCAACTCTATACCATCATGAATACTGGCTTTTGAAGTGTGCACTGTTAACAAGCTGAGTGGTCATTAGCCCGGAGGACACTGTCCATGATTTCCAAAAAGAATTTCAAATGTTGATTTGTCAGAACACAGGACACTTTTCCACTTCACCTCAGAGCATTTTAAATGAGCTCGAGAGTTTTAACTTGCATTTGTGGACAGCGACGAACTGTTGTCACAGAGAGTGTTTTTCAGAAGTGTTCCTGAGTTCATGCAGTGATTTCCTCTACAGAATCAGGTCTGTTTTTGATGCAGTGCCGTCTGAGGGCCCAAAGATCATGGCCAGCGAATACTGGTTTTTGGCCATGTCCCTTTCATACAGAGATTTCTCCAGATTCTCTGAATCTGTTAATGTTATTATGTACTGTAGATGATGAAAAGCCAAAGTTCTTTGGTATTTTACATCGAGAAACGTTATTCTTGAATTGTTGCACTGTTTGCCTGTGCAGTCTTTCACTGGTGAACCCCTCCCCATCTTTACTTCTGAAAGACGCTGCTTTTTATACCCAATTATGTTATTGATCTGTTGCCAAGTAACCACCAGGTGTCTTTTTAAGCATTACACAAGTTTACCAGCCTTTTGTTGCCCCCGTCCCAACTTTTTTAGAATGTGTTGTTGGCATCAAGTTCAAAATGAGGTTTCTCAGTTTCAACTGTTGATGTGTTGTCTTTGTACTATTTTCAATGAAATATAGGGTCTAAATGATTTGCACATCATTGCAACTTTTTTAGAAATGTTGTACATTTGAAGATGTTTTTAAAAAAATGTTTAATACATGTTAGTGTTTGGAACACATCTTGGAATTAAACAATGTATTTGAAATGTATCTCAAATATAATGTCCATGTCTTTTTTGGCACTATAAGAAAGCACAGCCAAACTACTGAAATGAATTTAAATCCAAACTAGTTAGTCTAAAATACCTATAGAAAATGGCTGATACCTTTAGGATGTAAGAAGACACAAAAGATCAAATGGTCACATATTGAGTTTCATTTCAGAATTAATTTAACCATGTTTATTGTCAAATTCAAGCAGTTTATTTTCTTTGTTATGGTAAGCACATTGCCTCACAAAAGCATAAATGCTTGATTGGATCATGTTTCCAGGGCTGGTATCTTAAGAGATGGCCCTTTTTTATGATCACCACACAATACTATCAATAATCAATATTACAAAGAATGGTCTCCCATATAACTGAAAGTAAAATAGTAAGCAAAAATGCAGCCTCTGAGATCCAACAAGCATACAGAGATGATCCAATAGTCCAGTACATCCACAGACATAACAAATGTATGATACACACTCAAACACTGTCATCCGACAGGGATATAATTAAAAGAAATTGAGTCATCATCCATTGAGATATGAATGGTAAGGACAGAGAGAGACAGAGAGAAGCAAAGAGAGAAAGAAATACAGGTAAGACTAACTTGCAGAACACTAACAAATCATAGGATAAAGTGCAGAAAGCTCATCCATTTAATTCAGTTTATTACTCGGAAATGCATAAGTCCAAACACATTGCAGTGAGTCCAATTTAATACAGGGTTATGTTCCAAAAAAAGGGAAAAAAGTGCATCTCATGGTCTGCCCCTCTGTTGATGCTATATATGATTTAATACAAACAAATAAAAAGACACATTCACTCTTATACACTCACAGCAGACACATGTGGGCACAGACAGTGTTGTCAGTGAGTCAGACAGTCAGTGAGGAAAAGGGACTGAGAGTATGAGTGCTGTCTCTAAGGCAGGCAGACAGTGATTAGGATGAAACTATCTGCTTGTGAAAGTGATCAATCTCCTTTAACAATGACTCTCCTCCATCACTGAACTCCATCATCTGTGCAGGTGAGACTCAAGTGCAGGTCCATTTACATCTTATCACTGTGCAAACTTGGTCAATGCAACCACTACATACTAGGCTTGTATCCTCATATACAAGCGCAGGTCATGCATACACATGCATACAGCAAATCATACAATTTCCGAGTCGTTTAGTTATAAATAAAGAAAAAATGAACAGAAAGAAAACATACACACTCCAACATACATAGAAAACATTGTAGTCCGTCTAAACCCATCCCACACTTCCTCACATACCGTATATGTGTGCTAGATGATTTCACTTTGTAGCATTAGTTTCTTTTGCCCTCTCACGAGGATTCTTGTGGCAATGGTAGTACCTATGATTTAACCTTTTCTTTTTTCTTTTTTTTTCTTTTTTTTGCTTAAATAGCCAAGGCAATTTTGCACCAATAAGTAAACAAACAACTTTATGAATTACTAACAGTATGAATAGTTGTAGAGGTAGAGCCCTGTCAGTTCTTTAGGCAAAACAGACAGGAACACAGATCAACAGACAGTCCAGTAGGCACATGCCACCAAACTGCCTGAAATGTAAGGTGTTTTAATTGTTACAAAAAGCAGCAAATTAACATGAAAAGCTGTCATAAATGAAACGCTTAGAAACAGCTAGATCTGTGCAATAGCGAGAGCTCTCAGATCCCTCACACGTAAAGGATGACGTTATCGGGACAGTGCAGGCCGTCGGTGGAGTTCAAGGCTCGGCAGGTGGGCTGGGGTGGGGGAGGAGGACGGGAGCTCTTGGGATGTGGGGAGTCACAGTCGTCTGACGTGAGCTCGGCGATGTCGTCCGACTGCGTGTCAGACATCTCCAGGTCACTGCGGATGCTCTCTGGCTGAGCCAGCGTGACATCGCGAAGCCCCTCCCTGAGTGACCCCCCGGGTGACAGCCCCAAAGATGAGCTGGATAAAACCCCGCCTCTGCGCGAGCTGCAGTCCTGAGGCTCCTCCCCTGAGCCGGGTGCCATGGTGGCAGCGGGCGGAGCCAGATCCTCTTCGCTGGTTAGACACAGATGGCTGGGTTTGGTTTCAATGTCCACCTGAATCTCAAGGTTTGTGCCTTCCCTGAAAAACAACATTACAATTGATTAGGATAAATTCAAGAAGGAACCAAAGGATCCAGAACCTACAGACACTTAGTCCCCAAACAAGGGGTCTGCCTAACAAAGCATGATGTCTTGGGTAGCCAGATACCTTTAAGCTCAGTTTGGTCTAACCTTAGATTTTCTGTCTCATGATGGTGGATCACTTTTTACAAGGATATATCATCATGGCAACTTATTGAGTTCAGGATTTCAGATCATGATCAGCCCTTGGACCAATCAGGGCTGACGACCTGTTGGTCCTCTCTAGTCCCTTTGTTTTCTTTGTAATGTTTGTGGTGTCAATCATATAAAAAATATTGCTTTTCAGTAGAGGAAACAAATCATACTTCATTAATATCAAGAATATAAAGCTATTATTACTCAAATAAGCACTACATGCTTTACTTTCCACATCTTTCAGTAGTATAGTTTCCTGTTCTTTCAGTGAAAAATAAGTCATTTGACACCTAAAGTTTCAACAACTGGCTGATTGTCATGAACATCAAACTCAAGTCGCAGTTTAAGTATCTAAAACTGGGTTAACAGAGAAGTTGTTCACTGCCATCGTAAAACAAGTTGACCACAGCTGTATTTAAGTTTTGTGAAGCTGAAACTTACTCAGGAATCCTGTCTGAATTGAGCGTGCTTTGTGAGACAGGCTCTGATCCGTGAGTAGTATTTTTGTGTTTTTCCTGCCCTAACACACCCACTTCAACTCAGGGCTTGCTAATTATGTTTGAGCAGAGAACAGAAGTATGCAGGGCAGGGTTATCTCATGCTTGGGAACCGCTGCAATAGGCTAAAGCAAGATACAGAAATGAGCAGGCAGACTGAAAATCAGAAATAATATACATACCTGTCAGGCAAGGTGTAGGAGGAGGTAATGGAACCTGCCATGCCTCGAGTGCTTGCACAGTCACTGGCTGCTCCCAAGCTCCCAGTCTCTCTGCGAGTACCTTCTTTTCCTAACTCAGCACCTTGAACCTCCAGCCTGAAGCCAAAACAGAGTCAAGTTATAGCACAGCGCCAGACATTGACTTGACCTGACAGGTAATCAGCTTAACTCACATCTACACTCAAACGAAATACGGACTTTATACCTATAATAAAGTTTAGCATACAGACTACTAGTCATACCTGCTGTATTTTCCCGTCCTAGCTCCAAGAGCTCCTCCGGCTAGTGTGTTGAAATGAGGTGTGTCCCCCAGGCCCCCAGGGGCCACTGAGAGGCCTTCACTTGGGGAGGTGGTGCTGAGGCCACTGGCCGCTCCCTCCAGACTGCTTTCACCAAGGCTGGGGGACTTCAGTGCTCGCCATGCATCAGCAACTAGACAAAGAAAAGAAAGAGAAATACAGGTGAGACTAGCTTGCAGAACACTAACGAATTCTGGGCTAAAGTGCAGAAAGCTCAACCTTATAATTCAGGAGAGAAAACACAACATTACAAGCACATTATACAGCTAAAACCAAAATCAATTACCATAAAATCCACAAAAACAAGTTCTGTTTAATGTAAGAATCAGATGATGTTGGCTATAACTCACCTGTAATAGGCCCATCGTCCTCATCAAAGTCAATCCTGACTCCTCGTCCCTTTCCTCTGCTGACCCCACAGCCCCCGCCACGGCACAGGGATATTGGCACCACGCCATACACATATGCCAGCATGATGGGTACACCGATACCTGGGAGAATGACAAATAATATATCTCTCAGATACATGCTTCCACTGACAGCTCTAGCACAGTCTGCAAAGTTAACTGACTGCACTTCAAAGGGGAATAGTGCCAATTTTCCACCATTTCTGCATAATTAAATTGTTAATGCATAAAAATAGTCATTCAGACTGTTTTGATGTGAAATGCACCACTCTAGAGAAATGTACCAAGTTATAATTATTCACAGTGGTGGTAATGGGAACCAGACGTCCAAAGTGTTAATTGCCTCTGACAGGGCCATTACAAGAATCTGTTACAAAAAGTGGTTATGAATATGTTGCCTGATGCCTGATAAATTTTTACAGTAGTTTTGAGATAAGATATCGGCCTAAAACATATATTTGAAATACATTCAGAGTGGAGGCAAATATGCCGGGCAAAAAAGTATCCACTGTATCACTGTTTTACCACTTATTAACATTACTTATAAAAACTCAGAAGACGTGTAGGTTCACTGGTCATTTTGGACAGCAAATAAAATGCATATTTTTAAGGCAATATTGGGCAGAAATTAAGAAAATAGTAAGAGAAGAAGCGGACATGAAAATACATCTTGATTACAAATGCAATACAAATATATTATTACATTATATGAAAGCATTCCAGTTTTTCAGGTCAACTTACCCACACTGACGGCTGCAATAACCGGGGCTGTGATGATAGACAGGGCCACGCCTCCTGTGATGGCCAGGTTCCTCCTGTGCTGAGAGGTCTTCTTCCCTTCGTAGTGGGCGTATATCTGCACCAGAGAGCAGAGCAATAACGGCGTTAAAAAAAAAACAAAAAAACAAACAAAAAAACACAGAGGTGTGCGTACCATCCATTTTGTTTTTTTAATGTTCTGCTTCAACAAATATTTCAGACATGTTTCTTCAAGTTTCAGCAGTATCACGGTCTTGCCAAACTGGTACAATCTGGAAAAGGTTTTGAACTGCATATTCATGAACAGCAGGGAAATACACATAGACAAAGATGTGCAGTGAGGCATGACTTCCTTCAAGTAGTGACTGATTCTGTTATAACAAAGCTGCCTTACGGGACGCTCAGGTGTTGTTTTTGCAATTTGCATTTTGCTGGAAATGTTCTGAGAACTCTTGTTTATTCAGTTTTGCATTTTGTGGTTTTGAGGGCGCTTTTTTCAGCTGGTGGAGTATTCAAAATAAGTGACACTTCTAGGTATTGGAACGAAAGTCATTTCAGAAGAAGTCCTGCCTTTTTACATAATGGCTACATAAAACAAGCCGCATTCCCTGTAACTGGCAAAATTTGACTTGAAAAGGCCATAGAATGCTTTGCAGGAAGCTCTTTTTTAAGCACAGAAAGAGTGCCCTATTTTGTAGTAATGTTTGAGCCTGCCTTGTGGCACGCCAGCAAGCATTACACAGAAAAAGGATTGTAATCATAATCTGTCAGGATCAAAAGCAATCAAGCCTCTGTGTACAGAAAGGGAAGTGCTGGGAAGTTCCCGAACAGGTGAATGAATGAAGTCTTCCTCATTTCCTTATTTGACTGTTAATATCTAAATTTTCCACAATGAACTTAGTCATGGTTTTTAGCACAATGACACAGATGTACAATGCCCGTCTCACCTTGCGTCCTACGTAAACTGGGATGCCAATAACCATGGCAGGCACTGCAATGCCAGCGATTAGAGTGATGCCCACTGGGGCACCAATCAGAGTTCCCAGCTGCCACAGAATCTTCTTCTTGCGACTCCATGGCTTTTTTCCCCAGAAGGTACAACCTGATGGACTGTGAGAAGTGAACCACAGAGAATAAGTCAGACGAAAGGCAGGCAGAGGGGAAAACTACGTCAAGTCATCAAAGGTTATTATCAGACTCAACCACCATGTCCAGGACTTCAAGGGTAACTGCCAAACAGATGGTGGTGCTCTTAGCTATATGGCAATAGGCCAGGGAGCTGAGCATACCTGAGGTAGTGCAGGTCAGAGATTTCCTTCATACAGAGCCAGCAGAACTCGCAGCCACACACAGCGCAGGTCATGTGATTACAGCTGCCATCGTTCATCTTGATGATGTAGGCTCCACATCGGGGACAGGGCTTGATGTCATCAGCTGAGTGGGGATTAATGGGTTTGGGTTTAGTATAAGCAGTGGCATACACAAGCTCCTGTAAACACACTGTGCTGAGGAAGCTGTTTCTGAATGTGAGGTGGTGAGAGAGTGAGTGCAATTAGTTTGGCTGTCTGTTAAATGAGAAACTGTTTAACTCAATTGTCAAATTTGGCACAATCAACATAATTTTTGAGATGCAGAAGAGTGAATAAACAGCCATACTTCAATACACTTTATATTAGACAGTGAACTTTAAAATAAGCCTTCTGCAGCTGGATTAGTTTTATCTGGGGAGGTTCCGTAGCGTATGTGATTATCTACAAGATCTGTGATGTTAATGCCGTATGAACGTGCAATGTGCATAGTCCTTAGAAGACCAATAAATGCTTTCGTTCTCCTTCACGTCCCACATAATTTTTTTTACTGCATCATCTTTATTGAATCATTATCTTTGTATGATCAATCTAATCTATGGTTAGTTCAAAACTACATACAACAGAAAAGATTGCACTTTATTATAGGCTATACAACAGAGCATCAACTGACCACAAAAATACCATAAAAGCCTCTTGAAAAGATTATAACACAGATCATAAGTCTGGCAACAGATGCTGGTGCACATGCAAATTAAACTTTAATACACGAGATCTATTCTTAAGGTAGGGAGTAAAATCATCAAGCCTGTCCAGAAAAGGAACGCCAACACGGAATTTTGGCAGTATTTTGATTTCAAGCGAACATGGAGGACCACAGGATGGTAAGAGAGTGACATACTAGTATGTGCAGAATATAGTTATCATTATAAATGATTAAGTAATGCTAAAATATAGCCCAGTTGGTAATTATATGGTAATTATATTACCTTCAAGGCAAATGCAACCTATTGGGTAAGACTCAGTGAAAAGCTTAGTGAAGACCTTCTATAATTCACTGAACCTGGAGCTCCCTTGGTGACAGCAGTCCTGTTCAAACCGACCCCACAATAATATAATAACAAAACCTGGCAACAGGCACGGCTATGAGATGTTATTGAGCGTTGCTGCGTTTTACTTGTTGTGTTGCTCTCACATATACACCATGTTGCAGTCTGGGATTTCTGTGGCAATTAGGGAAGTGAGACAGATACTTTATCCTGTACAAATCAATCAAATCCCTTACAAATTACATTACACAGCCTTCTACTGTAAAACTAATCCAGCTCAAACAGTGCTTTAGACCGTAATACACAGGTATTACAGCAACTCTAGAATGTACCGCCTGCATGCTGGTCAGGAATACGAGACAGTGTATACAGCTGTACTATAGTAGAGGTGACACAGAAGCTGAGACGAGAAGGTTAAACAGGAGTAAGTTGAGGTGAACTCACTTGGGCCCTGCTCGGCCGTGTAACTGGGCGAGTGGTTGCTGTGTGTTCTCAGGGAGAGTGCCCTCTGCTGCCGGGCTGAATCACATGTCTGGTTGGGGTGCCAGGCCTGCTTGCAGTGATAGCAGAACTCGGCGCCGCACCCTTCCCTGCGGCACACCAGTCTGGGACAGCTGGCACAACCTGAGGCGATGACTGCAAACCTGGAACGGGATGAGCCAAAGAGGTCAATGGAGATTTCTCAGAGGCACTGTGTCTACCTCCAGCTGCCCAGAAAATGAGACCTAAGAAGTATGCATGGGAAGAAAAACCAAAAGCCCACCTATATTCCTTGAAGCTATGTTTATCTGTCCTTTGGTCTGCAATATGTATATTCTCAGTTCACTATGCATTTAGGGTGACCCAGGGATGCCACTACTAAAATCTGGAGTGGCATATTTCTTAGTACAGACTAAGGTCAACAAACCTGAGAAACAACCTTCCTAATCTGATGTAGGTTTTGTGACCTGTTATCACAAAACAAGCATAAGTCACTACAGTGGCTTTCCACAGTACAAAAAAATCCACAGTAAGGCTACAGTACATTTACCAGCACAGTAGCAAAGGAGCATAAAGTCTAGCATAGAGAGCCTACGGATACAACGCATCCTCAAAAAGTCTGACAGCTCCACTTTACGAGGGGTGATTGTGCTCCTCTCAGAATTTAGCATGCTCTCATTCACTCAAACGGTTTTGTATATGAAGTGAAAGACTCTAATTCATAGTTCACAGAAACACACAATTCTGCACACACGGTCCAGTGAGGAGGTAATGACCGCTTTAATTAAATCCCAACCTCTGTTACCCCTAGCAACACTAGCTCTTGTGCTGCATCCCAGTCACCATAGCAACTGAGAGAGAGAGAGAGAAAGAGAGCGAGAGCGGGTTGGGGGGGGGGCGGCATTTCCTCCACCGATTGGTCATCTGGCCCTTTCAATCAAATTGAGGCTGAGTTGGGGAGGTGAGAAGACAGAGCTACTGCTACACTGTGGATAGAAACTGACAGGGAGGAAAGATTTTTGTGCATGTGAATGCATGTATGTGTGACAGGGAGAGAATAGATGAGATGGGTGTGGGATGCTGTGAATCTCTGATGAATCAGATGCAACAGCTAGAAAAATCTCAGGCCTGCATCTACTTCGCACGCTTAGGTCTGTTTAAAATTCTTCCAACACACAATATATGCTCAGAAATGGAGGCCAAAGATGGCAAAATAAAAACATATACTAACAACATTTAAATGTATGCCTGTCACATTCATGACATTTTAGCTGAGGAGTAACTGCCATATAAATAATTGCATTGAACAATTTCTATTTTTTTATTCACTGCATACAATAATTAAAGTTGATATTTAGTAGCTCCCAAATAAGGACAGAGACAGCTCAAGCTCAAATAAACCAACATTACTGGCGTTGGTGTTATAGCGCTGGTGTTATAGCACCAAGTCAAATGTTTGAAATTTGTTGTTTTTGTAAGATCCATGATGTGTTTGATTTATTTAGATTCATTTGGCTCTACACAAGGGATAAAAATGGCTCCAATTCACATTCTATGTCAGCTTTAATAGTTGTGACTGGGAGATTGTGTGATACAGGCCTACTCTGATTCTGGGTGACACCGCAAGCTGCACAAAAAAGAAGCACTCCACCACTACTGAAATGCATCTCTTTCCCTCTTTAAGATGTCCCTTCCAAAAAACTCCCGTCTCCACTGACAAACGCGGGTTTGAAAAGTAGTGGTGCTGACTCAAAAGTCAGACACAGACATGTTTCTAATATGTAGGTCAACAACCCACTACTGTGATTGACAAATCTCCAATAGGCCACAAAGCCCTGCACAGTAAACATGCTTTCTCCAAATGACACATCTTCTGAAATAAGCGTCCCACACAAAGTGCAGCAACTTGCGTTCTTTCTCTGACCTTTCAAGCAGCCCTACACTTGATAAACTAGGCCTGAAGTCAAGGCTGCTCCACATCTCAAAGATTACCAATCCTAATATGAACTGTGAAAGACTTAGACACATATTTCGAAGGAATAACTGATCCAAAAAATGTTAACATTGTTAATAATAGTGCATGACAGAAATTACAAGCAAACTTGCTTATGTGAAATGATCACTATAAGGTTTCATTTATTGTTGGCAACAAAGTTGGTCCTTAACGCTTAGAATTCATAGTTATCACTACTGATAACAGAACCGTTTTATATTGGTTACCATTTTGACATTTAATAAAGTAGAAGAACTTTGTTAAATGTGTGGATTTTAAATTGTGATACCACATGCTTGTACAACATAAACTGAATGTAAATGTAATACATTTTTTAACTATGTATTTATATTTAAATAATGCAAATCAAATGTACGGCTAAACAACAACAAACAATAATAACTCTTCTAGGAAGACTTCTAAGGGTTAAATACCACTTAGTTTCACTCCCAGACCTACCCGCAGTCCGGGGCGGGGCACCAGCGGCAGTCTGGGTCCGAGGCAAGGCAGCGCCTCAGCAGAAACTCCTCATACTTCTCCAGCAGTGCAGCATCGTCCAGGATGAGGGCCACCTGCCTGGGGGCCAGTCTCTCGGCACACTCTGGGCAGCTGAGCTGCACCCGGCTCTCTGTGATCTCGATGCGCAAGTACTGGCGCAGGCAGCAGAGGCAGGAACGGTGACTGCAGCCCTGCAGCTCAGCCAGCTGATCTCGGGGCTGCCGCACCAGGCACAGCGGGCACTCCAGAAGATCCTGTCCACCCAGTGAAGCCTGGCTGGAGGACAAAGGCTCAGCTGAGTCACCGGTGGCTGGGGGGTCCGGGGATGCAGCGGTAGGCGTGGGTGGCTGAAGAAGCAGCTGTTGCTGAAGTTGTTGCTGTTGGTGAAGCTGCTGGGTTAAAGGAGTACCAGCGCTAGCTTTGTTCCCCTTAGAACCCCGTTTACTGTGGAAGAGGCTGGAGAAAGAGATCCTTCCCTGCTTCTTGCCCGGTCCACGACATTTGGGATTGGGAATGCCATTGACAGAAGAATGGGGTGATTCAGAGTCTTTTTCTGATCCCATTGCCCAGAGATGACCTGATAAGAGTCTTTTACCTTGTGTCCTTGTAAGGCTCACAGAGTCTGAGGCAGATCTGTCCTACACAAAGTTGTGTTAGACCTGTAATTGTCAATCCAACAAAGCCCCCTTCCTCAAGAGCACATGCGTACTTCAGATAGAAAAAAAATTCCAGCAAAAACAAAAAACCCAAAACAATTTGTCCCGAATGACACAAATTCCAGTTAATAACACTGGTCAAAGATTCCAGTCATACAGTCATACCTTCCTTTGCACTTAACCAGGAACAAGCAATAAAACAATTGACGGAAAGATAACCTTCACAGAACAAGGCTGACGGAAGGGAAAGAGAAACTGAAAAATCCCCTTGCTGTCCTACAAGTTTGTTCTCGTAACAGTCAAATAGGCCGATTAGCAAACAATTACGTAAACATGTGCTTTATCCACAATACTAAAGATCTTAAATGTACTCACTGTTAGTGAAAACCAGAAGTTTATTTATTTCTTTTTAGAAAAAAAGGAAGCTGTAAATGTCACCTTCTGTAGGAGTTTAAAAGATAAATCAAGAAAACAAGCTAGAAAATATGTCCTGTGGCTCAGAACATCCTCGACCCTTTCAGAGGGCTTGTTCTCAGCTTAATGTCCTGTAGTCCCGCAGCTGAATTCTCTTGGTTACACGACTGAGCCGAGCTGCTCCAGTTCGTTCCCCTTTCCTTTCTGAAACGGCCCGTCTGTAAGGAAGAGAAATAGCACAGGAAGTTAGCTCAGAGAGCGGTGAGCCTGTGAATAGAGCATGCCCAGTACGCAGACACACACACACACACACACACACACACCCCTCCCATCGCTCTTGCTCTTTCGATTTCACTGTTAACTCTTCATGCTCAACAGTGGCTCACAGTTCCACTGAAACCATCATCTCCGTGACTCATTTGACAGAGCTGATATACTGAAGACAAACGTACTACTCACACACACAGTTGCATTACACATTAATGTATTAAAAGGAAGTATACATCCTTCAGTATTTGAAAACACAACGATTTTAGCAAATGTATAGCTATTTGTATTAAACACATGGAAATACATTTACAACTCATTATTATAAATATTATTAGTGGTTAAGGACATGCATGCATAATGCTAACTGTATACAGTTCTGAGCAAACGTCAAAGACTATCCTTCAGTTATTTAATTTCCAGAACGAAACTGCTTTTACATAAAAGTTACTCATCATTTAGTGTCAGGAAAAAAAACATAAAATATATTTAACAGAAGCAGAAAAGTGTTCGTTTTTATATCAAAATCACAATTTGAAAGTGTGCAATTTTCAAATCTCAAGAGCTGAAATTTTAATTGTATACTCCAGTCTTAAGTTTTAAAAGGAGAAATTTCATTTAATGATGCAGAGCTGGCGAACTGGCAGTCTGGCGCGCTACTTTTAGCGTTCACAAGTTTGAAAAAAAATGAATGTGCTGGTCTTCTTGGTAAAAAAAAGCCTGAGACTTAATTTATAGAAAACAATCGTTTTTAAATTGAGATCGCAATATTAGTTAGAAAAATCACAATTAGATAGATATTCTCCCCAAATCAATATACCCTACTCAACAACTAAATAACAGCACATTTATTACAGCTTTATCTTTTCAGGGGACTTGCTTTTAGTTGTCCCCACAAATATCTCCTGAAAAATGAATAACTTACTTAATGGCTGTTTTGAATGAAAATGGCACAGTACTGTGCATAACCATGCTCAATAATAATAATAATAATAATAATAATAATAATCATCATCATCATCATCCCTCCCAACCAGCAGAAACTGCTAGCCAGTACTGGGGCAAGTACTTTGTCTAATTCTATCCATCTCCCATATATTTCTTTAATCCCTTTATGCCTCCATCTATCCTTTTCTATCTCACTGACACCTTCTGCCTCTCTCTCTTAAACACACAAGCACAATCTCGAGCCCTACCTCTCTACTTCACACTGTGCCGCTAGCGTGGTTGCCATGGTGATCGCCACTACCAGTACAGCATACAAGGACCCTCGCAGTGACTCTGGCACTTATGAATGCGCACAGACACACCAACACACATATACACACATAATTGATATTAACACTAACGAATACATTAAAGAGAGTATAAGAGCACAGAATTTACATGTGATGGATAGAACCCACAAGAGAAGAGTACAGAGAAAAAGGAAGAGCGATAGAACAGAACAGGGAAGAAGAAAAAGAGCAACAAAGGAGACAAAAATGTGTGATATTGAGGCCAAAGACTCTGTCTGGAGCACATAAGTAAACAAACACGCAAATGTGCTCTCTCCCACACACATTTCCTCAAAGCACATTTAATCCAGATGTGTCCTGCTTTCCTCCTCTGTTGACCCTTGAGAAACTGCCCTCACGGCGCAAATTTGTTTAGTGGAAGAGAGATGAGGGGGGGTGTTAAGAGACTGCCACATTGACAATATCATTAACCAGCTCTTATCTTACACCAAGATCCATGCTAACACAGGCCTGTGAGGACATGTGCGCACCCTGTTCGCTAAAACTGCACAGCCCTCATTTCCACTCAGGCCACTGTTTTTTTATTTTACTATGTAAAGGAGAGACGTCATTTTGTAATCAGACTCCTCTGTTTTCTTTAGAATTTTGAAAACCTGCTTTCCATGCACACGGCTGGTCCTGTGCCATCAATAACAGACAGAAGGTGGAGCAAGTTACGAGAAAATATTCTACTGATCTCTTTCCAGTTCAGCAGCCCTGTTTTTTTTATTCTTTAATGGCTCTGTGAGGCAAGCTGTGATAGGAGTCAGTGTGACCCACTTTTCCACAGATCTGTTTGAATTGCTAACAGCCATTATTTTGACCTGATATCTTCGCCCACTGTAATCATCAAATGCAACAATGACCGCACGCCATGTCCATGGACATGATAATAGTAATAATATTTCTGATTAGCGCAGCACACTCATCTCTCATAACCTGGCCCAACACACACTACCACCCTATATAACATAATACTGACCTGGAGAGGAACATTTCCCCTGTTCACACTCCCTACAGTTTCCATGGCACTTTCATAACTGGCCTGTTGAAAGACTAGTGTTGAATCATTTGTGGGGAAAAAAAAGAATCCCCCATCTATATATAACCACTGACCCAACAGGGATCGTAACAACCCTCCCATTCCACTTTAGCCTCTCTTCAGAGGACGCAGGAGCCTTTGCTAATGCAACTGATGACACATAATTACCATCTGTGCTCTCTGAGGTTTGGTGTGTGAGGCGCATGTGGGCGGACAACAAGTCTTCTCTAGAGAAAAAAAAAAGTGTCAAATCTCTACCCAGCGTGCAGCTTGAATGTGTGCATGTTATAAAACAAAGTTTGCTCTACCACACAACAAGAAACAATGGTTTCAATCTATGATGGTAATTTGATTGCAAAAGTCTGAAACTTAAGAACAGACAGAAATACAAACAGAAAAAAACTCCCAGACAAACACTCAGTAAAGTTTACAATTTTTCATTTTTACTGCTCTGCACATAGACGGAAGCAATTAAGTAATAAACCAAGGAGAGTTAAAGCACACAAGTTGAACACTGGATGACGCTGACCCATATTCCACCCTTCACTTTTTTAATTTCCAGTCAAAACAACCATCAAGCACATAAAGTTATTCATTCTTGATCAGATATTTGTAAGGAGTTTAGATATAAAGGGAAAAGGGAAAAGTCAAAGGAAGGGAAAATAAATGTGTAAGAGATTGAAGTGAAAAAAGAAACAAAAACAAGCTCCACTCTTGCTTCAGATCTGAAACACATAAATCCACAGGTGTTTCTGTCCATCCTTCCACCGCAATAAGACAACTTAACATTATGGGTCTGAAAGGCTGTGTAACTCAAGAAGACATTACTGAGAAAAGTAAATAGACACAAAGAAGAAAGTTTGCATATCAAACAAAGAATGCCAGAGACCAGACTTAACAACACTGAATGTGTTCGAGATTCCTGGTTGAGAAGCAGAAAAGGCAAACAACTTCTAAGACTGAACTTTGGAGGTGTGGGAAAAACATCTTTGCAGATTTCTTTGAAAAACTGAAAGCAAGTCTTCCGAAAACAATGGAAGCGGTAATGAAGGTGAATGTTTTTTTTACATTAAATATTCACAATAAATACTGAAAAATCTGATACAATTTTCTATTAAATAAATGTTTTCTGCTATTTTTCTTGCCACTGGAAATTCAACTTTGACTTCCTCCTTCTATATGCAAGTGAATTATCTTACATCTGATCTCCTACAAAATGAATAGCTTGTACTTAAGGACTGTTTTGACTGTATATTGCATAAACGAAGAACAGTGTCTGACTTGTTTAGTAAATTGTACAGTAAAATTCAAAAAATGACTCCAAACTCCAAAAAATGATCAAACTCCAATGTTCTCAAGAGCCTTTTCATGTAACGTGGGCTATATCGTGATCAACTGTGTTTACCAAGCTTTCAGAGATATCGCCCACTCCCCGTGCTTAAACTGGAACTTTGAAGGAGGCGAGCTCAAGGCCAAATTGCACATTCAAAATTACAAAATGTAACAGTCGAAATGGAAAACCCAGTGCAGAGCAACCCTGCTCCTCAGAGTAGCAACTCTCACACCTCACACCTATCTTAAAACTGTCACTACATTCTACAACAGTCAAAATTTAGAGAGGCCTGAAGAAGAGTGCCTGAGGTTTCACTCTCTTACATATCTAACTCACATGCACATAAATGATCCTGCCTGACTACAACAAAGCTCACTGCTAGCTCTCTACTTTGGTTACATTTCTGACTTCTTGCCTTTGTCACACTGGCAATTCAGGACTTTCGTTTTGAACCTTTAAAAGCTATGCCAAAACCACAAGGCCCATCATAGCTTTACCTGGAAAGCAAGTTCTAATATTAGAGAGTAGCATACAAATCTTAATAAAGCAAACTTATCAACACATTGGTTGTAAGGTTCTGGGACAACTGGTCATATTAAACGAATACAGTCCTAAAGACAGCTTGCAGAAGCACTGCTGAAATGACCCAAGCTGTAAGAGGTAGTTAATGAATACAACTCAAAGGCTAGAATCCATTACAAAGCCAGTGCACCAGTAAAGAGCTGAATATGTCTTGCGTTGGCTGCAGAGAAATGGCAGCCTAATGAGGGCGGTCACTGTGCCTGCATCTGTGAATCACAGATGATGAGCTTGAAGGATCATAAGCAATCAGACTCCATCATATCTCTTCTGTAAATTTACGATGTCTTTAGTGCGCCCTCAAAAAAAAAAAAAGTCTTCTTGAGGCCAGCATCTCAGACACCTCATTTACCTAAAAAGAAAAGGTGCTGTTGCTTTTATGCACCATATAGTTTGAGTATGATGTTACAGAGTATTACTTCTGACATGTTAGTTTCAAAGCTAAATCACAAATGTAGTGTTTGTAACTTCTTGATATCAAGGTAAGGTTAAGGCTTTTTAATATCGGGGATTTTATACCTGTTTTTTCCTGCCGAGGGGAATAATTACAGAAAGTCCAAAGAGCTATAAAAAATAAAGGGTAGAAAATGGGGCAGTATTACTTTATTATTTAACCTGTGTTAGTGTTCATTCTAAAAGGCTCACGTGGTACATACTGTACCGTCAGCAAAGAAGACAATGCAGGAAACAATGTGCTTTAAAGGCGAATGCTCTTTTATTGAGCAGGCAACAAGGAAGAACGACCACTCAGTAAATACCTCTCCTACCGAGAGCACCTCTTCGCATGGCCGCTTTGCATGGTCAGGCCACAATACTCTTTCTTGGACTGGGATGGCCAGTGGTGTCAGTGGTAGAACGCAAAAAAAACTAGAGATGGCACAATACCATTCTCTCTTTTCCAATACCGATTACAGATGTTGAAACCTTGATCGACCAATATTGATACAGATTTGATATCATGTTTTCTTTAAATACTATGTATGCTGTCTTGCTCAAAATCCTCCAACATTCTACTATCCTACAGCAAGACATACGTAGCTGGCGAAGTTTGTTACAGGATTGGATCGGATTCAATCCTTTTTCTTCTCCAATATCCGATCCAGCATTTTCTGTCTATCATCCCAATACAGATACTGATATGCCATCTCCAAACAAAACACAAAAATAAAGCAGGCCTACCTATCATGATTAGGTGCGCCCATGAAAATGTATTTTACATTTTGTTGGCTAGATTTCACTGAACTGATTACTTTAATTGGGCTGCTAGATTACTCTTGATTACAGAGCACTCACTGAATAAATCCTAACTGGAACTAATGGCAAACATGCCTTTCCACAGCCAAGCAAGAGAGCACTGCCAGAACAGAAGCTCTAGTGACAACACAAATCCAAAAATTCCTTGGCATTCCACAGAGCTCTTAAGTCTATACAGCCTGTCCTGATATACTCATCACTCTTTTGGGAGATAAGAGGGAATGAGGCTGGCTAGTTCTTAAGGTCTCAGCACTTCCGGCCAGCATGCGGTGAAAGAGTATCTCAGCACTTTAGCATCATCCTCTGGGAACAGCCGCAGTTCTAGACCATGCATCAGCAACCCGCTAACAGAGCTCAGTTTCAGTTCCACTAACTCCCTCTCTGTCACACACACACACACACACACACACACACACACACACACACACACATACTGATTACATGGAGAATTTGGTGTACAGGTGGGCCATTGGATCTGCCTGCTATTACACAATAATCTGAGTCACACTAACTGCTCAGCAGGCCCCATATGCTTGATAAACGTCACACGCATGTTCCGACTTGTTCTCAGGGACTACTTTCCTGATTACATGAACAGGATCAGGCATATTACAACCTGACGAGAGTCTCACTTACATAAACACACTCCTGTGAAGAATTCATTTAACTGATGGCATACTAAAGTAAAATACGAACAAATCATTCCATATTAATACTAATAGAAACAACTTGTTTTCCACAGATTTTAGAAGTTTATGACATATTACAATAAAGACACTTCCACCAAAGACTTTTATCATTGCAGTCTGACAAAAGCCATGAGCAGCAGCAGCAGACAGGCTAACAAACTCCTTTGCTGGGCTGTTTGTGCTTACTGAAATCCCTTTAAGCTGGGAAGCTGGGTGACTGCCTGTGTGGAACAGGTGGCTCTGCTGATCAGTGTCCTATCCTTATAAAACCAGCAAGCTGCGTCTGGCCCTGCTGTGTCTGTAACTCATTTCTCAAACTTCTCAAGAAAGGCCAGCATTTGATCATAACCACACAGTACTGATATTTAAATATTAGACACTCACTACAATGCCTGTAATCTCTCTCACAATGAACGGGGGGATAGCTTACAGAGTATTAAGGTGTAGCATGACTAACACAGCCGCATTCTTAAGCCACTGATTCATTCTGCTGAAAGACGTAAACAGAGAAGACCTCCAGCTGAAACATAAGTAAAACCCTCTCTGAAGCTCAAGTCATCCTGACTGATTCTGAAAGAAGTAGTACTCTTTGACTACTACAAAACTATTCTGAAATTGTAGCAAAAAAAAAGTTCAGATATAATATTTGAGCAGAGATAAAATGATGCCTTCAGAAATTGTACTTAAGTATGGAGCCAAACCAGAAACACTCGCATAAAGGTACAGATGATAAACCCTAAGCATTTACAGCCTAAATTCAAACTAAGAAACTGACTGAAAACAGCAAAACTGGTGTTTGATATTAAGTTATGCTAAATTATGGTTATGAATGATATGAAATGTTCTGGGTGGATGTACACTTAAAAAAAGATGGTTCTTCAAGGGTTCTTTAGTAAAGGCAATGGTTCTATTTATAACTCTTTCAGGTTTAAATGTTGTTTTGCATAGTTAAATGGTTCTTTAGATTGATGGAGAATGTGTTGTATACGGTTCAATATAGAACCTTTCTGAAAATGGTTCTATATAGCACCAAAAAGGGTTCTAGCTTGTAGCAACAGAAGAACCCTTTGTGGTTCTGTATAGAACGTTTCATAACACATTCTCAGTCAATCTTAAGGACCATTCCACCAAGCAAAGAACCATTTAAGCATTAAATGGTCCTACATAGGATTCACTGTTCTAAAAAGAATTACTATCTTTACTAAAGAACCCTTGAAGAACCATCTTTTTAAAGCGTGTAGGCTGCCTGTAACTGTAGGTGAGAAGAGCTGAGAAAAACATGCGCAAAGGGAGCATTTTTCATAATTCTTTTTTCTGTAGTAAAATAATTCCAGCATTAAAAACTCAAAAAGGTTAACGTTACTCTGGAAGTTAAGATAATTAATGTTCCAAAAGAAAAAAGAAAGCACTCTGAGTAAAATACACGGAAACAGCACCTTTCCACCACAGCCTGGCAGTCATACACTGAATTACAGAAAATGGCAACAAAGCAGAACAAATAACTTTCCACAGAATTCACCCTGGAGCTACAGCAGAAGCGAAACTGATAGAGAACAGGAGAGGCTTTCAATGGAAAAAGATGATAGCTCCCAAAACACATGCCAGAACGAGGTCTAGTCAAGAACAGTTGATGAGTAGACGGAGAGTAGATGGCGACGTAACGGGGAGGCTACACTACTGAGCTGTTGAATGTTTAATGTACTGAAGGCCCATTCCGTGGCTAAGAGCTCTGTGGGCCTGAACCTCACACACTGGGAGCGATGAGGGAGGATGAGAAAGGGAACTAGTGTTAGTGTCGAGAAATTAAGCCGAATGAACAGCGCAGCAGTGGGAGTAGTAAAAGAGCACGACGACTACAACCATGTTCAGGGCAGGAAAGGAAAACTAGCGCCCTAAAAAAACATTTGAGTTCACAGAATTCACGTCTCCCCCTCCTTGTGAGGATGAACTTTGCGAGGGCTAAGCAGAGCCCACCTAGGCCTGTGTACTTAGTTACCTCAGATGAGGCTGAAGTTGGCTCCCTATTCGAAATTTCCCGTTCCACCTTAAATAGTACAGGTATTACATTCTGGCGTCTCAGTGTAGCAGAATAACCGCCGCACCATTTAAGGTGGAACGGGAAAATCCGAACAAGAAGCTGACTTCTGCTTCGTTTACTTAAGCTAGCCCACACCATGAAGTAGGCTAGCGGTAGCGCACACAAAATAAGTAACCTACATTAGGAGCTACCTCGCGGCTCCAAAAGGGGCCCACATTACAGCAGGTTCAGAGTAAAAATGAAGGCCATGGCCAGTGTTAGCTGAAGCCGTTAACCCGAAGTGGCGAAGGCCACTAGTTTGGAAAAAGACATACAAGACAGACGGAGTTCGGGATGTTTTTCAAACTGTCCTCACCCATTTCGTCACCGCATTACACGTTTGACCGTGAGCATATATATTAAGCTATATGTCGCCTCTAGCGATTATTTTTGTGACGTGTCCATTATGATCAGAGCCAGATTTAAACGACTTGTTCATAAATCGACCTCGCCTACCTTGTTCCCTGGCACAGCAAAGGTGAATCAACGGAACAGGGTGGTACACTGAGATCTTCAGTGCCGTGTGCGCCGCGCATTCAGGCAGCTCCCACTGGAGTGCCCTCTCTCTTCAGGACAGACACCACGGTACAATTAAAAACCTCTCACCCGGCCGAGGCTCAGCTCTCCGTCCGCGTTAGTGTTTCTTCAGAAACAGCTTCGGATTAGAACGGCACTCGTTCCTCTTTCCACTGACGTCATAGAGGAAAGCCCCGTTCAGTGACGCGCCTCCGAACTCCGCCCACTGTGATGTCACCTGTGAAAGACCCGGAGCGCGTTGATCCCGAAAACGGCGTGAACGAGAATAAACCGACACAGATTGAAACCGAAACCCAGCGTACAGATAGGTTTTAGTTTTAGTAAGCATGAGAATGATGAAACTTAAGTCTACACAGTATACCACTTTGACCACGCCATGAAAGGCACACGAAATATCCCGCTCGAGCCAAAAAGGCTTAAAGGGGAATTCCACTAATTTTTCATAATTCAGTCCTTGAGATGTAAATGGAGTCATTCAGAGGGGTTTCATATGAAGTGTCATTGCAGAGAAACTCACAGACTGATTTCCTTACAGTGGTGATGGTGATAGGAACCAGAGGTCAACAGCATAAATGCTATTTATTACCCACCCTGCTGAAAAAAGACCGTCAGAACCATTAGGATTACATCCTGATGGTTTTGCTTTCTAACAGGAATTGCCTTAATGGTTACCAGTAGAGACCACTAGTTTCCTATATAACACCTTTACATGCCATTAGGAAACCACCAAATGTATCTGGAATCAGTCCCAGACCACCTGTTAAACCATTAGAATCCTTTACACCATGATACCAACCCATCAGGAGAATACAAAATAATATTAGTGACTACCGGACACCATCAGAAACCAGCAGAAACTTTAAATGGTTACTGTAAAAAAAAATTTCAACAGGGGAAAAACCACCAGTGAAACTGCATATCTTCCGACTTTTTCTATGCAATGTTGACGATAGCAAAATAGTAGGAAGTGTGAAAAAATAAGTTTTCCTTGGGAACTATTTGGATTACAACACCCTGCATGTACTTCTCCATCATGAATGGATTAAAATAAATGGAATAAAACACAATTTCAGCCAAAACTTTATCACAAAACTATCATAATGTATCAGATAGCAGGCTGCATATGTCTTACCGTTTCATGTAATAATTCTGTGAGGGAGCTTTCATAGGCATTAAACTATTCAGACATGTGGTTCTCATCACCACCACTGGGAACAATTCTGGCTTGTCAAGTTTCTCTGGAACCGAGCATTTCACATTAAACCACTCTGAATGACTGTTACATCCTACCCACTCAATTAGGTAATTCTTTTGATAAATTGGTGGAGCGACCCTTTAAACAGGATCATACATCACAAATATTTTACTCAAGCCTTAACAGTTACTTACTCTATTAGAAGTTTTCACTAGCCAAAAACATTGATTTAACTCAAGGCTACATTCACACTAAAAATTTTGACCATATACTTTTTTTCTTTTTTTTTAAATAAAAGTCACATATAAAATATTCCATTTCTGCCTAAGCCATTATTAAATGTGGCCATGAATTATGGCACATCCATATTTAGGAGAAATGACTTGCCCAAGACATTCCCCTCGCCCATTTCAGAAGAAGTCTTACTCAGCACTTCACAGAAACCAGCACAAATCCAAACTACAACGCAGTTGAAGATGGTAGAAAATAGGTTCTTTTATTTTAAGGGAAACATCGTCAGGGCCACTGTATTGTGTGTTTCAGTGCTGGCAGAGTGCCCAACATAAAGCACACTAACTATCCATTATAATTAAATCAGACACCCTCCCCTTTTTTGTAATCATCTGGATCAGACTGGATGGTGGATGCAGGGTTTCAAACAGCTGTAGAAGGAAAAAGAAGCCTTAAGTAAATTAAGCATTCAGTTCAGGACACATGCACTCAGACAAAATAAGGCATTTATAACCTCAATTTTTCCACCCAGGTGGCTCAGTAAGGGCAGTGATCACAAAAACTAAAAATCACACGACCTCTGGTGGACATACGCTGAACTACAACAGCCTGTCCAGCTGAAAGTGCTATCAGGTTTACATTTCACCTGAATACAGTGCAATTAAACATCATAAACGTATTCACCTTCGCTAAACAGTCGAAAGCTAAATTAAATAAGACAGTTAAATGTTATCAGGTTAAGAGGAAAAAGTGAAAAGAAAAATTCTGCCTTTACAGATTAGCTTAATTTCAAATCATAGACACAGTAATTATTTGTCATGCAGAAGGATAAAGGCAAAGGGTCAGTCAAAAGGAAGTAAAAGGAAATGACTGCCAGAAAGAGTGAAAATGACACTGAAAGAAACTGCTGTTGGTTAAATTGGTTCAGTGCATAAGACTACCAAGTTTTAGTTTTCCTCTCCAGGCTGGCTTGTCTGGACCTGGTTGTACCCACTGCCAATTAGCTGGTCACATACAACGTAGAGGGCCCTTGATTCTGCAGCTTACTTCTTTTCTGCTCCATAACAGCATACATAACAGTGGGTATGACTACACTCCACCATTAGATACCCAATCATCTAGAACACAAGGGACCACACTTGTGAGAATTCAAAAACCACGGTTCCAGACAACCCTAAGCTGATAGACATACCCACACAGCACCTGCTTTAAAGCAATAGACCAAAACTTGCAACAGAGGAGAGATCATGGGATAATAAGTTGTACCCCTAAGGATAAAGGAGAGACAGGGGGATGGAGAAAGGATTTAGATGAATAACACAAGGTCTTTACAGGTGGCAGCCGAGAAGGCAGCAAGGATGGAGGCAAACACGAGATCCGGTGACTGAGAAGCGTCAATAGCACGATGCAAACCGCGGGAGCTGTAGTACTGCACCAGGGGGGCTGTCTGTTTGTGATAAGCCTCCAGCCGTGAGCGCAGGGTGGTCTCATTGTCATCGCTACGGCGGGACAGAGGCTCACCAGTCACCTAGGGCCATAACAGGAGAGAGTAACATGCAGAATACATGAGGTGAAGTCAAGAACCTTTGCCCTCTATTTTGTTACCAGCATCAATCGATGTAGGATAAAATTCCGTTTTGAAAACTGCCCACTGACAAGATCCGGTTTGAAATCAGGTTTGCCATTCCAAGTGAGGTTTTGGTAGTCAAATCACAGCTTGTACACAGGGGGATATCACAAGACAAAGCTCATATTCAGGCTTTCTTGAAGAATGCTAGATTCACATTTACGTTTGTGAGGCAAAGAAAATGGGTGCACTAGTTGCCCTCTGTAGCCTGAACTCTAAGCACAGTAAAGACACCCAACTAAATCCTTAAATCAGGGGTGCCCGATATTATCTACAAAGTTCTAGTGCAGGTTTTCATTCCAAACAAGCAAGAGCACACTGATTCTGCTTGTTAAATCAGTTGGTCTCAGTCTTCCAACAATTGATCCAGTGTGGCCCTTTCTGGATAAGACTGGACACCCCTGCTTTAAACCATGCTGTGATTACACACTGGTCAAACCTGCAATTGGAAAGAGGCTGTTTGTTGTGTCTTTTGAAAAATACAGAGATGATATGGGAAATAACTGCATTTAAACAAATGTGATTAAAAGTACAGATAGTAATTGTTTATTGAATTTAGTGTTACTGCTTACAAAAATGCCAAAAACTGTGCAAATGCATGCTTAAAAGAAGAAAGAGTACCTAAAATAATTTAGAATTTAAAAGACAAGAAGAATTATCCAGAAGGTCAATGGTTCAAATCCCAGAACTGACTGGCTATACTTGGTTGTGCACTTGGGCAAGACACCTAACTCCCCACTGCCCCAGTGTTGCTGTGCTGCTTCCAGACTGGCAAAGCAGTCTAGTTAAGCAGCACAATGAAAAAAATGCCTTGGAGGACCAATAAAGTAAAAATAATACTTACATCATCTTTCATAGGTTCCTTGGGTGGGTTAAACTCCTCATGGTAGGAACGGCCGCTGGGCTGATGAATGAGTCTGAAAAATGAACGAAGGACTTAGATATTATCTTTTAAGACAAGGTTCTGCAACCACATCATCTACACAATCCAGGACAGTTATTTACCTGCCCTGTCCTCTGATTCCACCTTTGAAGGCCATAAGAGTAACCTGTGCAGAGCCATGAAAATGAGCCCTGACAACACTAAATTAAACTAGTTCAACATTGTTTTAAGGCATACACAAAATTTAGAGGAAAGCAGCGATACCAGACAGGCTGAAGATTAAATTAATCATTAAGCACAAAACACATTAGTCAATATCAACATCTATATTAATAAGTTGTACAGTTTATAAGTTGTCTTTTTATTGATGGTAAACACCATTTAAATACACTGATTGTGGCTCATGATGGGGTTTGAATGTTATTTATTATGCTTATGAAAAAAGTAGTCACAAAGAAGACACTTACCTTCCACAGATCCTGCGCACCAACAGAGAGTCGTCCACAGAGAACTCAATAACAGAATCCAGCTTCTCTGTACGTTTCTCAAGCAGATCATCCAACTAGTTCAAAGAGGAAAAGTAACACAATTTACATTGGCCAAGTTATTTAGTTTACTTTAAACATTGACTTAAATAAAAAATGGTAATGGTAAAAATAGTAAAAGGCAAAAATATACCATTTCTGCTTGTTTGACTGTGCGGGGAAACCCATCCAACAGAAATCCGTTCTGACAGGCAGAGGTGTCCAGGTTCTTCTCTATAAGTTCAACCACCATCTCATCACTCACCTAAAGATAGACAAGAGGGGAGGTAAAAAAAAAAAAACACAGCTAAAAACCAGTCTGTGTAGTCAGCAGGGCCTGGATTAGGCAGAAAATTCATTTATCAACATTACCAGTTTGCCAGCATCCATGGTCTGTTTTAGTCTCTGGCCAAGTTCTGAGCCAGAGGCCACCATTGCTCTCAGCATGTCCCCAGTGGCCAGATGACACACACAGAACTTCTCTGCCAGCCGGGGAGCCTGTAATGACCAAAGGATAAAGACTGACCTTAGATAACTTCTACACTGCTTTATGCAGGTTACTCAATGTGTTTCACCTAAGGTTACAAACCCTGAACCCAGCCTAGTTCTGTGACTTAACCTCACTACTAAGCAGTGAGTGCAACAAATGTACAAAATGTGCAACAAGTCATTCATTCACTTTATTGCCTGACGCCACCAACAGCATGACAAAGATTAAGAGGGTCCTCTGCAGTGGAATGATCCTCCCTCACTGCCAACATGCAAATACCAGCTGCATGCATGGTCTCTTGTTGTTTGTGACCAGGACCCAAAGCTGGACCTGGGCCATAAAGCCTGCTTTCATTACCATATTAAAATTTCTTCATAGATATCATCAGATCAAAGGGGCAGCAAATGTCCAAAATATTCTAAAGCTACCAAAAACCACACACTGTGCTATACTATACTACACCTACTACATTATGCTATTTATATAGTTACTGTAACACTGTATGACGTTACACTGTACATTCTTTAAAAAGACGACTCCTCAAGGGTTCTTTAGTAATGACAATGGAACTAAGGATATTCAAAGAACCAGTATGCTTAAATGGTTCTTTGCATAGTGAAATATTCCTCAAGCAGAATGTGCTGTATATGGTTCTATATAGTGCCAAAAAGGGTTCTTCTGTTGTTGTAATGTCAAGCATGTAACAATGGAAAAACCCTGTTTGGTGCTGTATAGAACAGTTTTCAAAAAGCCTTATATAGAACCATATACAACACATTCTCCTTGAATCTTGAGGACCCCTTTACTTTGCAAAGAACCATTTAAGCATACTGGTTCTTTGAATATCCTTAGTTCCATTGTCATTACTAAAGAACCCTTAAGGAGTCGTCTTTTTTAAGAATGTACAGTGTAGCGTCATACAGTGTTACAGTAACTGTGTAAATGGTATAATGTAGTAGGTGTAGTATAGTATAGCACAGTGTGTGGTCTTGGGTAGCTTTAGAATATTTTGGACATTGGACATTAACTACTAAACAAGACTTTTTATATACTAAGCTTGGGCTACTACATTATACATTTACATACAATAATACAATGTTCATACTATACCAATGAATGCACTACTAAGTGTAATGTACTATACTGATAATTTGACTATTTAACACGGTACTATACGGTTTTGGACGCGTAACTTTCAGCTAGGCGGGCTTATATGTTTCTCAATTTCAGTTCATCTAGACACCCTATTAATCTCCAGCAGGACTCGACCATCCGTCCATCTGGCAGACGCAGAAAAAACTTCGAAACTGTGCAGTAAAGATGGACTACAGCAGAGGAACTTACTGGACTTTAGCTGCGAAATACGAAACCGAATCAGCAGCGTTACCATGTGAATGAACCAACCTGGCACTTAGCTAGCTTAGCTAGCTAGCACAGCTATCTAGCATACAGATTTTCACCTGAGTTCCCTTTCCAGCTCCGGGCGGCCCCAGAAGAATGGCTCTGATTCCTTTCCGTACGCCTGAGACCAGTTCATCTGCTTGCGTGCTGGGTGCCATGGTCAGTGAGGACACAGTGCTGTGGAGCAACGACCCTCCGGCCAACTTTCTATCTGCCAACTTGAACCAGAAAGGAGGTCGTGAACAGCTCTTTTTCCTTAGTGTGGGACAAAGTCCCGCCTCTCTGTGAAAGGCGTCCTCTGATTGGCCAATGGCAAGTCACTCAAAAGATAATCGCGCTCATTGGAGAAAAGGGGATCACGGAGTACATGTAATATCCGATTCCTCTCAAGATGTCTTTGCGGTAACGTTACGTGTAATTTCGAAGCCCAATTTTTAAGTCAGAATAACAATGTTCTGAGAAAGTCCCTGTTTTTCAAGATACAGCACATGAACGTGTCAGTATCGAAATACAGCTAATTTAAAATAATTACACTGAAATACTGAGTATTCGCTGTAATTAGGTCAACCTAGCTCGAACCCGCGCTCCTTCATTGGCCAGCAGGGCTGACCATTTCCCAATACCTTATTTAATATATAGCTGGGTGTCTTAAATACATGTTTATAGATTTGTACGTACGGTTAGTGCAAACGTTTATGAATACATCCAAATCATTAACGGGTCGAGTTGTTTTTGTTGGATAAGTGTCCTCGTTCCATGAAACGATGCCCCAAAAGCAGTTTCTGAGGGATAAGTGAAAGAACAGATCTCATTATTTGATAGGGACAGCGTTCATGTGTAATAGCCAGCTCTCATGTAATGTATGTAAGACAGGTCAAATCAGATCTCATTTGTTCAAACTAGAGACGCATCTTAGTGAAAAGTGTAAATGGAATCTGGGCAGTTTTTTTTCCAGATCTGTATGCACGTTAATATGCATGTTAATTTGTAAACAGGCTCTCAGTGACTCTGCCATGTCATCTTCGTCTCAGTTTGTGAAATTTCTGCCCTGGGCAACTGTAAGTGCTATTATTGTGAATCGGAAGCGTCTAGGAGCAACAATACTTCAGCCACTATAAGCCATTATTCAGTATGCTATACAGCCCATGTGTCAAACACAAGGCCCGCAGGCCAGATCAGGCCCACCACACAATCCTATTCGGCCCGCAAAAGTATTTTAGCCTGTTTTACAATGTGATGCACTACAGCCCCCAACATGCAACGTAATGTGCTCAGACTCTCTTACCCCAACAACAGTCTATGGCACAGCGGTAACACCTCAGTTCTACACAATTATGTGCAATTCCACACCAGTCATATCACCAAAATGCATTTCAGCAGCTCAGCAGCTCGGAAATTGGGCCCAAGTCTTGATGAACTTGCAGCAAAGAAAGGATGCCTGGTGTCTAGTTCAAGGAAACAGGTAGGTTTAAAAGACCAAGCTCCTGGGGACATTTTGAATATTTCATGTCCATGTAATATTTCAAGGTAAGGTGATACTACATGTATCAGTATTTTACTAGTTTTTGCATATTTAGAATAAACAATGGCCAGCTCGGGTTATAGCACATTACTTAACTAAAAATGAAATGACATTTTTTTTTCTCTGACCCACAGATTTGATGAGATTTTTTAATATGGCCCTCATACTGGTTGAGTTTGACACCCCTGTTATACAGTATACTTCAGTATTCTCTGAGGTGATTAATCATGCTACACTTTCAGCCTGTTTATTCTTTTCATTAACGTGTTTTGTGACTGGATCATATCTAGACATACCTTAGCTGGATTCCATTTATAATTTTCACTAATGTGACAACAACCAAAAACACATGTTGGTGCAAAATGTAAGATAAAGCCCTATCTGTCAGTCTGACGTTTTTCAGGGTTTAGGCCCATTAATTCCAGTGAAGCATAATGTTAATGCTACAGCATACAAAGGTATATTAGACCAGTACATGCTTCCAACTCGGTGAAAAGTTTGGGGGAGGCCCTTTCCAGTTTGAACCTGACTGTGCCCCTGTGCACAAAGCAAGATCCATAAAGATACGGTTTGCTAAATGTGGTGTGTAAGAACTGCAGTTGCCTGGAGAGCCCTGACATCAACCCCAGTGAACACCTTTGGGATGAGTTGGAATGCTGATTGCAAGCCAGGCTTTCTTGTCCAACATCAGTGCCTGACTTCACAAATGTTCTTTTAATCAAAAGGGCATAAATTCCCATAGACACACTCTCCAAAATCTCGTGGACTAATTGTGGCCGTCGTGTCATATTAACGTCCATGGGTTACATCACATACTTTTGGCCACATAGCACATATGTATATCATTTACTTTCAGCTTTCTGTTTTTAGTATTATTTATTAAAACGTCTATCAAAAATTCTTTTTTTTTCTTTTTTGATTTCTTTTATAGGCATCACCCTCCTGTGCATTGAGGGAGATACTGCAAGCATGGCATCATGCACAATACAAGCTGTTAACATTGTCGCAGACAAACACAAACTTTAAGACATTTATTGCAAATGGTTACAGGTTATTACTGATATTGTTACTGATATAGCGTATATCACTGAAGTACCAACGTGCTCAGTAGTATTCTGCTTCCATGCTTTGGACAAATTTTGAATAATTAACAAAACTGCTATAGTATAAAAATAATATAAATGAAATTGAAAAGAAAAAAAAAAACAACGCCTAAAGTTTTGCTAAAGCTGTTGGCATTATTTAAAGTGTCAGCACTGCAGAATTCTTTAAGCTGCATTGGAGTGTTTAAAACAGGACAAATGAACAAGAGAGACCTAACAGCAAACTGAAGTGCCTTTGTGATATTATCCACACAGAAAAAACAGGTGAAATATGAAATGTAATGGGTCAGTACACATACGCATGTTGTCTAAAATGTATTTTATGCATAGCCAATTTGGAAAACAGTGTTGAACGAAAACTTAAACCCATTGACTTGTGTCAATAACAAAAATCTGTAAATGATTACATATTTCACAATCAAGTGTGTTGCTAATGCAGTCAACACCAACTTTTTCCACCATGATGATCCACCTTTTCTGGTCTCTTAACGCAAAATCAACCCATCTGCTGCAGCAAAAACAGATTATAACTTGCTGTTTTTATGAATATATGAGAAATCAACCATAAAAATACAATGAAATCCCTTTACCTAAAACCCAACCAAGCAATCCAACCAATCACTGGGAAGAAGAGCTCTTATTCTACACATACAGCAAGCTGTCACTCTAAAACATTATTTAAAAGTATACACTAACCTTGAAATTGCATTACTGTAGTCAAAGAGTTAAATGTTAAATATATCTTTGGGTAGCAAAAACACATTTCACCCACTGTATCCTGCATTGTGAAATTATAAGGAGGGTGACAAACATCTCAGACCTTTCCATAAAGCAACAACCATTGAGGAGTTAGCCTTTTATGCACTATTATTTCCTCTACAACAGTTATGAACACCCATTTCAATACAGCACATACAGTGACTGGTTTAAATACAAAATTTGAAAAATTATTTTAAAAAAAAGAATCTGAAAGCAACCAACATGCATTTTACATAAAAATGCAGGATATATAGTCTAAAGTTGTAAACAACAGTAGGCAAAATAACTAATTTAGATTAGTGCGCTTTAGTGGGAATATTTTACATACCTGACAACTTTTTCTAAACTTTAAACCAATATATGAGGGGTTTTGATTCTACTGTTTACAATAAAGATATAGAAAGTCATTAAAGTCTTACAGTTTATCCAGCTTACTATGGCAATGCAACCCTTTATCTGCTTCCTTGTTAAGAGTAATAACATTTTCCAGGTTTATCACATTGAGTAATATTGTGACACTGCCACTATTTAGCTGTTCCAAAATCATTATATCTAAGAATCAGAAAGGAATTATTTTCTTCTTTGCAATACTGAAATGTCTTAAGTATGGCTTTACTGAGTTTCAAACTCCCATGTCCATTACTTGTGTCAAATGTAAAATTAATTATAATTCTGTAAACGTTTCATAACTTTGAAATTGTATTGCACTTCTTAGCCAAACTATGACCCAGGATGATGCTTCTCCTTAAAGCCTCCCAGACTAGGGGGTGGGGGGTCACACTGGCCTGTAGCATGAGTCTGGCTGCCACATGCGCAGATCCACCAAGATTTGATTGAGCTTCTGCATCCACAAGTTTCTCTCTTCCTTAGTGTCGGCACTAAGCCAGTTCCTGTAATGTTAAAAGAAGTGCTATAAATTGCTTGTACGCTCCATACATGCTTCCTTAATGTGTACATATTCAAGTGTTTATGTATTTATGTATATATCTTTTCATACATATATGATCTGAGTCTTACTACCCTATGTAATATTATATATATATATATATATATATATATATATATATATATATATATATATATATATATATATATATATATACACACACACACAGAAGTTGTACATCAGTTGAGAGAGGAAAGTGAGTGGGATCTTACTTTGTGACACACATGGTGTTCTTGCACTGGCTGACCAGGGTTTCTCTGTCATCTTCCCTCTGTGGTCTCACCGTGATCAGTTCAAAGGTATTGGGCCGGGCACAGAACTCACGGTTAGCAGGCTCCACTTTACGGCTAGTGCAGCTGGCCAAATTGATGCGACCAATTGGATTCTACACAGAACACATCATTTGTTGATGAAAAATATAAAACAGATTATAATAACCATGCAGTTGGAATGAAATTGCTGTTCTTGCTTACCTTGCGCTTTTCATCATCAGGGTAAGTCCAATAGGAAATGCAGTACCCTGAGAGGACACACCATCTCCTATGCCAGGCTCCAAATCCACTGACATCTTCAAACATGGTCTGTAAATTACAACAGGAATGTTGTCCTAAAGGCTGCCTCAATGGAGCAAAAATAAAGCTGCTTTTTCATGAAAGATGTGAAGAGTTACAGAACACTCACCAGGAAGCCCCTTTCCTCTACACGAGAGCCAACCTCACACTGCATTTTGAGGTAGATATGGCCTTCCAGAGGACAAAGGAATGGCACCTAGATATATATGAAAGTGAAATTTTGGGTTACTGCATCAGGGGTACAATGCTGATGAGAATGTTTGTTGTCTTTGATGACAAAATAGGAAAGAAAAAGGTTTTGCAGCATAGAGACAACAGTCTAAACCAAATACCTTTTCCTCAACACTGAGAGGGGGAGGAACACCAGACAAACATATAACTGACCAAACAGTAGATTATTAGTTAGTAAGGTGACGTAATGCAAACTAAAGTTGCGAAGCAGCCTTTATAGGACAAGAGCAAGCAGACAACCCCCGTGTTACGAAATGTGGAACAAATGTAAAAAACCTTGTTCTGAAACATGTCACTGAGTAGTTTGCTCTCACTCCCTTCAAATTTGATCTATAAAAAGAAAAATGAGTATGTAAATAAGCTTATATGTGCAGATAACAGCACAGCATGCAGCAATCAGGAAGAAAATGTTAAAGCATTGCTTGCTTAATATGTCAAGTAGCACCATACAAAGACCCATTCCTTTTTATGCCCTTACTTTGCCCAACAGAAAGCATATTCTTTGTTTTCCCCTTTCCATTCATCATTCCATTATGTTAGAACATATCTCTCTAGTGTCAAATTTGCTATGAAAGAATGCTGGTTAGACATGCAAAGGAAAGATACTTAAAAGCTAGTGAAAAGTAAACAGTATTCAAATGGGTTACCTTTTCCAAAGGAAATTTGTTTTTTCCAATTGAGACCAAAGTTAACTTGTGTGATCCAACAAGGACAAAGTTGCTGGTGCGTACTGCATTTGGACCACCAGGGCTTGCCATTACTATAAAAGCAAACACATTTTTCCCCCAAGAACGATCATAAGTCAGTCAACTTTATGGCCAATCCATAAAACAACAATATATCCTACAAATGACTTGTGAATTCATACAATACTCACCAGGTGTTTGGAGATTGCTTTTCTGAAACAGAAGAGAAAAGAAAATTTATTTATGAAATAAAGTGTTTTCAATTATATGCATGTCTTCAAGGTAGAAGACAATGTCCATAATTTTAAAAGCAAGAACACCAAGAGTGGACTTACAGTGATGGCAAGGAATCTCTTAGGAGTGATAGCCTAAGGACAAGGACAAGACTGTATCATCAAGTGTCTTGGACACAACTAAGTATTAAAAATAATGTACTGGTCAATGTTTCCTTTATTGCAGTATGCAGAAAAGAGCCTTCGCCAGGGCTGCAAACTAAATAAAATGAGGTCAAACATTAAGTAGTCCCACACTACATTCATTGAGCGTGTACCTTGGACTTGCTCGGCTTTTTCCTTTTATCAAGGTACAACTCACGCTTCTGCACCTAAGATAATAAAATAAATTTTTGTTTTAAAAAAAGAAATCTCAAATATTATTACACATACAAAAAAAAGGGAAAATATACTTACAAGGTAGTAGACTTCAATGTCAATCTCAAAGTCACTGGACACATCAGGACTGAAAGTTGATAAGAGCAGTATTAGGGAAGAAGCAACAAGTGGTGGTGCTGATGTTCAGACTAGTCACAAAATGAATCTAGACTCACAGAGTAAACCTGGTAGAGAAGGTCAGTGCATCTCCACTGAGTGCACTGTGGGTACTGGCTAGAGGAGTTGCAACAGTGTTCTCAGCTCCGGAACGGATCATCACAAAAAAGTAATGGCTTCCAGATTCTTTAGTAAAACAAGAGAGCTCAGTAAATGAAATATTCCTATCTCAAGCAGGAACAAGTTATAACAATTAACAAGCTATGTGAATGCACATTCAGCACCTTACCCTACACAATTCTCATAACATCTCTCATTGTACGTAATGAGAAATGTAAAAACTATTTAAATACAATTAGGTATTCAGACCTTAGATATTTATAAGGATTATGCTATGGACTTTAAACAAAAGACAAAACTGAGCTATTAATAAGCATAAATATACAGAAAATCAACATTTAGACGGTAATTTCTATTAGGAGGTGGCTGTCCAAAACCCTACCCGCTAAATTCCAACTTGTAAAAATAATACTTTTGTACTGTACTCTTTTGTATTTTTCTTGATTTTTTTTTAATGTTTGTGATCTCTTCTAAAGTGAAGCTGAAGGATTTAAATTCACGATGAGATTAATTTTCAAATAAAAATTTTAAAATCCTGTCACGTTTTCATTCATCAATTACCGCAAGAGTTTTAGTCCATAAAGAAGTCTAAAAGAGCCTTATTTTAGCCACATCCCTCCATTTGAGAGCAGGACGTGAGACTGCATCCCTGTCCCTTATGGCCACACGGTGAGCAGTTAGATCCCATTGTTCTGAAGTAAAAATGTGTCCCAAATCCTGAAAATCAGTGTGTAACATTTAGAACCTAATTAAACACATTTTCTACAACTTGGTAAACTTGTATGATTTATGATGCTACCCAGCATTTTTAAGGTATGCTCAAAATGAGCTAAAATGGTCATGTAATGTTTTTATTATGACTACATTTTAGTAGTTAAGTTTGTGTTATTAGTGACCAAATGAAATTTATATTTTTATTATATACTATTTTAATAAATAAACATAATTAAGGCATAGGGTTACTCAAGGCAAAAAGATTTTAGTCTAAAGTCCAAGTCAGCTCAAACAAGCTGTCAAGTACAAAGATTACAAAGATTACCAGGCTTGTTGGCAGTAGAACAAACAAAGTCAGCCTTAAGTGGTAATCGAAGCTCCTGCAGTGTGATAGAGCCCTTGGAGGCAGGCACACCCATGTTGTCCTGAGCTCTGGATGAGCATTTCTTCTGAGTGGCTGAACCATCTGTCTTCAGTCGATCCAGCTCAGCTTTCAGGGCTGCCCTCCTCTCAGCTGGCAAAAGAATTATGAATTTACTTAGAATTGGAACTGCAACAACTTATTGACATTATCAATAACACAGTCAATACAATCCTTGGCAATGAATCTTGTTAGCAATTAGCTGGCTTGATGATATTTGCACTTCTCTTTTACATCATTCTGTTGGTCTCTACTCACTAGCAATAAGCAGAAGTCTTTCTGCCTCAGCCTCCACCTGAGAGCCTTTGCCATGCTCCTCATCTGTGCAGCAGTTTAGTGCCTGGCTGGCCTGATGAATCACTGTTTGTTGTAGATTCATCTCATTGGTCAGAATCTGAAAGCAAAGCATAAATTAAATTATTCATACCACCTCATTCCATGAAACCAAATAATGCCTATAGATTTTTCTGTGAGCAAATAAGTTACCTCAAGTTAATTTTCTTTACCTGCATCTTTTGTTTAATGCTGATGTGACTCGGGCTCTGGGACTCTTCCACTCTTTTAGACACATCTTCCTTCCTCACAATCACCTGTTTCACTTGTGGTCTCTCAGTCTCCTTCACTCTAGTTGATCTGTATGCATCAATGCTGAAATTCAGAGGTACCAATTAAAAACCTTTACAAGGTTTATTTTGACCAACTCATACTTAATTCAATATTTAACTACCTGTAGAGTAGGTTCTGCTCTTCTATGGTCTCGATACTGTCAGAAGAACCAGCTTGCTGCACTTGTGCCCTCTGGAATTTTGTGGGCCTGGACACACTCTCAGGAGTCCCACTCTTTTGAATAAATGAGCTGGCTGGGGTTGATGTCTGTAACAGATCAGGAAAACAAATAAAAAAAAAAAGAAAAACATTTGTGGAGGCTATTATAGTTTGATGTCCATCAGACTCCTATAACACAAATCCACAAGCAAAACACTTTCCAGGAGTGAAAGGATAAAGAAACCATCCAAGTAGAGTAATAATGATGCCTAAGGCATTGCAGACTTACCATGAGCTTTCTCTCAGGGCTCTTCACAACAGCAGCCACAGTCTCTGCTAAAGGCGCAAGCAGAGACATCGAGGAGATGTTCAGAGCATCTTCCTCCTCACCTTCTTCAGTACTACATTCTTCATTTTCCTCCAACACTCCCTCAAACAGATCGTTAATGACCTCAGAGTTAATGGAGCCATCCACGTTCATCTCAATCTCACGTATTTCCTCTTCTGCTTCTGCAAATAAATTAGTATGAGAAACAGTTATTTGAAGATACAGAAAAATGTCTCTGTAACACAAATCATGGAGAGCAGGTATTTTCTTACCATTTTTTTCTTTCTGCTCAGTCATTTCTGGTTTCTCCACTGAAACCTCAACCTTCTTCAGGGGGCTAAACTGGGAAGGCCTCATGTCTGACATTTCTGAAAGAAGAAAGGATGTAGTTAAAAGCTGATTCCAGAAGTAAACAGTACATGGAGCAAAAAGGAAGCACAAAATTAAAAAAAATTAATACAATCTCAAAAAAGTGTGACTTAACTAGTATAGAGAGGGATCAACGCAATGCAATTATACTTATAAAGAATGAAAACTACTAGCACATTCTTGCAATTAGTCCGTTTACATTACTGCATGTTGCATTATGCTACTTCATGAAATTTCCAGAGTTAAAAATATTACCATTTTCACTGAGCTTTGGAGTTCCCAAAATATCCAAGTCTGGTATTGAAGGCTCACTGCAAATAACAGAGGCTGAACCTTCAGTAGAATCTTCCACCTCCTGAAGGCAATAAGGAATGCCAATATTACATACAGCTTTGTACCCCCACACTCCCATTTTGCATTTGACCAAGATTCATAAAGTCAGCCTATTACGTTTAGCCCATCAAGATGAGAAAACACATCTCTACCAGTTAAAGATGGTATATCAACATTTGGTCACTATCGGCAGAAAATGCTGGACCAGATAACGTCACACTTACACTGAGAAATTTGACACTGTTATTCTTGTGGGGTAGTAGAATCTTTTATTAGATTGATCGTGATAGCCTACTTTTAGATATTCATCTTTAATGTAGTGCTTCAATTAAAACCAGCTCATTTTAAAGCTTGGTAGTTTTTAAAGAGGGGTAACCCCTACTAGCAATTAGATGTTTTGGAAAATTGGACAAAAATATTTTTGTTACTTGCTGAGTATTTGTTATTCAATATTATTTTTAATTAACATAACAGATATCATCACCAAATTCTTGTTTTTAAACAAATAAACTATGACAACCTTAAATTCCTCGTTATTCTTGGCCTCTGCAAGATCCTCTTTACTTTTCCACATATTGCCGTTCTGAAACCGACTGCGAACCTGTGCCAATTCTGCTTCACGTTCCTAATAACAAAAGAGCATTTGTCAAACAAAGACCTTGTCTAAAGCAAGTCACACATTCCTGAAAGACTACATACCATTTTCTGCTTTTGGGTAAGCATTGCAGTAGTAGAGGTTGTCTGTGAGATGGCAAGCCTCTCTTGGAGCAGCCTGGATTTGGGAGTGGCCGACGGGGTGACAGCAGGTGTGCGGCCCACTCCACTAGCAGGAGAACCTTGACGTTCCTGGCATCTTTCTCCAAAACGCTCCAAAAACGACTTAACACCGCCTAAGGGCAATACGTGAATGAAGTAAATTAATCAATGAACAAAAACAAACAAACCAACAGATAAATAAATAGATAGAACATTTCTGAACAGATGTGTAAACACTGAATAAGTTTACAACAAAAAAAAACAAAAAAAAACAGGGCTTTATACGTACTACTTCCATAAAAAACATGTAATCGTGTAGTTCACATGACACTAGAGCCTGACCGCTACACAGGCGCGCCGATATTATCAGCCGATATGAGCTAATTGCAAATAAATTTGAATCAGTGCTTATAACAGTTGATAAATGACAAAAAAGGAAAGAAGAGCAAAGTTATCTGGCTTCTCTTTAAAAAGTGCAGTGTGTTCGCTGTAATGGCAAAACTCTAATATATTTTGTTATACTTTTGTTCACAGTACTATTTTGACAATAAAACAAGTTTTTTTAAATTGCTTTATAATTATGATATCTTGGTGGGAACTCCGAAATAACTACACAAAAATCATTGGGGAAAATGTGTTAACATTATGTATTTCTGAAAAATAAATAAATAAATAAATAAATAAATAAATAAATAAAATCAGATGATATCGGACTTTTAAAATCATCAAATAAAATTCTGTATCTGTCAGGCTCTAGTTGACATCATAAAGAAATGCCTGGTTTAAATGCAATTTAAAGGCATTACACTTCTGCGTCTGCATATGTGTAAATACGTGTAAGCACTGTGCGAGACGTTCACATAAGCGTCTACCAACATACTTTTATTTACAAGAACGTGAGGAAAATCTTGTTTTACCTAACTCCAAGCATTAATACTGACTTCACTGTTTTTGTAATAATTAGAAGATAAATTTATCAAATAAACCTCCTCTGACAACTTGACCCTCAAACTGATTTTGCACTAGTTCAGGTTTGCGTTGAGTTTTGTTTGGATTTCGTCCCATCCCCAAAACTACTGCAGAGGCAGCAAGTGTTTGCTTGATACACAGTTCTGCAGACTCTAGCCCCTGTTCTCAACCCCTTCTTTGCGTTACAACAAAGATACCTTTGCATGCATTTTGCAGAAGTACAAATCAGCCTTACGGAGGTGAAATAAACATCACAAATAAAAATAAATAAATAAATAAATAAAAATTACAACTGAGTTACTCACCAGCAGGTCCAGCTGGGCCTCTCTGCTGCAAAGGTGCCGTCTCCGTGGCCAATCTCTCACCGGTCTGAGAAAAAGCTGCGGCAGAGGATGGCTTTGTCGGAAAGTTTGGTTTTGCTGCACTTGAACTAAACAGTCTGCCAGCTCCCAGCTCTTTGCATGGGGCCTGAGCCTTCAGTGGGCTATGGGACAATGGAGTTGTCTGAGGACTAGAAGAATGAACTCTCGGAGATTTGAGAGGAGTGGAGGGCTGGCTAGAGGAGGCCTTCAGGGGGCTGGATACTGGGGAGGGAACAGGTCCTTTGACCTGTTTGGGCTCTGGCACCTCAGTCTTCTGAGGGCTGGGAGGAATCACTCTGGATGATTTGACTGGAGAATAAACTGGTAGCTATAACAAATCAAACATCAAATATGTTTATACACATAATCCTTGAACAAGAACTAATATCCATTATCTGTCAGAGTTTATGTGCTTTTATCAGAAATCACAGAGGAAATGTATTTTTGCTTGTAAAACCCACCTGCTGAGTGCTGTGGACAAGCTTGCTTGCTGGCTGGACATGTTGAGATTGCTGTGTGACAGCACTGGTCTTGGCACTATTGCTCTTTTCTGCAAAGGCTGGCTGACGGACGCAGGCTGTGCCAGGCTGCACTTGTGCATTGTCTCGATGAGTGGGATGATGCGCATGGTCATCTTCCCAGGAGCTGATTGTGGCAGCAAGATTTGCCAGTCTGCCCTTTCTGCCTAAGGGTGTCTCTGATGATGTGAGGATTGGAGCGGAAGTTGTAGCAGCCTCTGCTCTCTGGGGCTTAAGAGGGGACAGGGCTACGCTGTTGGGGTCTGGTTCCATGTTGCCTGTAAACACAATTTAATATGAATAAACACTTCTAATACTGTGTATCAACTCTGACTGTATTTTGAAGAATGCAGAAAGCAGATTATCTAGTATCACATATTGTTCGTAGTTTAACCAATTCCTTCAAAATGAATCGATTGAGACCTGACAGTACTGAGACCTAAATTAATGTCTAATGGATCAATTCTGCTATCAACACAAATTCATTACTTCATTATACTTATGGTTTGACCTAAATAAAGAACAATCTTACAGTCAACTTTAATCTAGTTCTTAAATTCCCCTTCAACTAAACGAAAGATGACACATTGCAGCCTACCCTCTGCGTCCCAGTACTGCCTCTGCTCAGCCAGTCTCTGCAGGCGAGACTTCATGCTGCCAGGGATTGCTGTGGGAGCAAGGGTGTCTTTAAGAATCTCTCTGCCTTCCTCAATGACAGAACACTTCACAGTCTTATCTGCACACACTGTTACTGTCTGTGAAGTTCCAGCCATGATCTTCTCTATATTTGGTGGCGGGTTAGGACGCCCTGGGATCAATTCAGACCTAGGATGGACAGCCATTCTTTCTTCCGATGCAGAATGAATACTGCTTGGCGCCATGGGAGGCTTCTTGTCTGTTGTGGTCTCTGAGGCTGCAGCATGAAGGGCAACTGGCTCCTTGTTCTCTTCTCCAGTGAAATGGGCATTCTCCTCCGAGCAGCGGCGCTTTGAAGGGGAAGGTTTGGAGGTGGGAAGTACTGCACCACAAATACGCAAAAGTGATTTTGTTAGGACAATGGAAGGAATATGAAATTAGATTAAAGAAAAGTCTCCCCTATCAAATTATCAATTTCAAAAGTGATGCGATGAATGATTTAGCCACTGGAAACACATTTTCAAATTACATCCATCGTTGAGGTCACATTACATGAAGACTCATTCTGCAAATTAATACCACATTACAAACACACACTACTTTTAGATCAATGACATATCAGTCTGTCTAAAAACCATAATTCAAATCCCATAAATTTAATGTTCAGTTTCCTTTAATAATAATAATTTGTTGTGTGAAAGCATGTCACTCACATTGGAGACTAGTGAGATCAAAGTGATCAGGACAAAAATAAGGGTTTCACAATGTCTTGTTTATCAGTTGTTATCGCAATACTAACTTTGACAATACTGATACAGCCAAAAACTGCAATATGCAAATGAGATTTCTAACAATTCACTATGTGTTATGTTGTGTTGTGAGCATTCAGATTAAGTCTAAGATTAGTGTTCCTTGTATGTTTTGCAGAATTAACACATTCTGCAATCTAACAATTTTGCCATGATCAAACTAGTGAATTATTTCTCAATATAATGCAGGGTCAATCTTTAAATCATACAACATTAAGGGTTCACCAAGTATTTTCAATACATTGCAAGGCATACTGCAGTCACAATCGGTAACAATATAAGTACAATAAGGGATTTTGTCCATACCATTAAGTCTCGAAAACAATTCAAACAAGATCGATTTGTTACCTTTTTCAGTCGGCGGCACACTGATGACACTGTTTGTTTCAGCAAGTGGCTCTCTTGCCCTCTTGGCCATTTGTCGATTGGCCGCTGTAGGCCTCTCAGCTATCTTCTTCTGAAGATTCTCCCTGCGAGCACGTGTGCGCTCTAAGAGTTTCTGAGTAAACGATAATGCATGAAAAGGTTATAACAAGATTCTAAAAACAGTATGTCAATAAATACCTGATTGAAAAGACCACTACAGGTTTAAAGTAGACACCAAAGTTTGGACACTTCTCAGAACTTTGACATGCAATAACAAAAACAGCAAATTCTATTTATACAGCACCTTCTCCTATGGAAGAAGGAAAATACTATATGTTAAAATAAACATACAAGTAAATGCACATAAAATCATTTTAAATGGAAGTGAAATAATAAAATACAATAGGACATGAAATAAAAAAAGCAAATATATGAAAATAAAGACATATAATAAGAATGACACTAAACACATAAAATGCATCCACTTTTATTCTGTGACTAAAAAAGACTTGTTTGTAAGACTGACTAAGAAATAGGAACCTTATTTCAACCAAATTTTAAGTCTACCTGACTGATCTCTTTGTCTTGCAGCCTTAAAAAGTAATATCTGTACTAGGAGTGGACAACATGACAAAATGTTATTGTGATAAATTATATTATGATGTGTTTTTCTGAGATACCACAGGTATAATTAGTACATCTATAACTCTGAACAACTGCATGAAAAATACATATTCAGATCAATTATCAAGAGTCTGCAAACAACAGCAACAAACGTATAGTATAGTTACTGCATAAAATGTAGGTGATGGAATGTCAGTCCATTATGGCAGTGTCTTATAATATTAAATAGTTATTACCAGTTTGACTCTTTACTCAAAGATATTTAGCTGTCTAGCAGATGTATTTTTTTCATCCATTTCGACTTTCGCAAACCTCAAAAAAAGTATCATGCTGTTTATCATGAATGGTGAATCTTCAGGCAACCAGTTTCAGTTCCCCATTCCATATACTGAGAGCCTCTTCCTGCTACATTGTACTTCTCACGTGTGACAAAGTTTAATGTTAATTATGAAGTGTGCTGGTGCTATAACTTCCAAATTACCCAAAAGTAGCATAATAGATAATTTGTGTTTTATTATTGTGTCTTTCCTTCCTATTACTAATTAAAATACAGTACAGTCCACCAAAATAGGCCACTGTGCAAGAACGCAAATAAAAGGCATGGCGATCTTTCCATAAGCTATTAGACCTACATTTAGGATTAGAATCACATGGCGGAATAAGGGAAGTGAGCAAAATGTTGATGTAGCAATGCAGTAAAGTTAAAATTGTTTTGATGTTGTGATGCACATGCATATATTTATTTAGAGCTTTGTTTAAATAAAATGCCCCCAACATGCGTTTGTGGTACTCTTATTTTAATGTCTTACGCTGGTATCGCGGGTTTTCTTTTCTAACTTCATGGTAAACTGAAGAGGGGCATGCTAAGTGAAGCATATCACACCCTTAGATAGCTGCTACTACTTTTAGAGTTTTTATTATCATGTGTGAGCAAAATGCACTCACTGCAGACTTTTCTAGCACAGCACCTCGCAGACCTGATTAATAACTCTGACAGGCAGTACATACATTGCAACTATTTTGCTGTCCGTTTGGCAGACTCCCAAGGAATGAGTGGAAATTTCAGTTAGTGGTTGTCATTCCCGAGGAATTCTCGTCATGTGACATGGCTACAGCATTTTATTGGCTAGAACTGAAAAAGGCTGCAGACTTCAGGGGCAGGGACATGGTGCACAGCAAGTCTCCCTGAATACTTCTAATTCTTACTCACGTTTCCTAACTACATTATCACTAGAATATCAGCTAAAACGGTCTGAAAACAGTTTTCATAAAAAAAAAGCAAACAAACCAAAAGAAAAAAAAAACACTCAGCATAGAATTCACTTTCTCCACGGCGAACTGCTTTGACTGAGTTCTGTTTCTGTGTTCAGCATATTACAATTATCAAGGAAGCTATTCGTCGTTAACTATCTAACTTGACGTTAACCCTATTTGAAAAGCCACCCTGCCCTTGTGAAAACACACACAGCCCACCCTGCCCTTTTCTGTTGCTAAAATGAATAAGAATGCAGTTCAAAGCACTTTAAAGGCCAGCTGTTGCTGCTGTGCTCGTTTCGCATCGTCTAAAATCAAATGTTTAAAATAAACCGTAAAAAGATTCTGCTTTCCACGAATTGACAAAACAAGACAAAGGGCAAGCTAAAATAGCGATGAGCTATGATTCGGTTCAAGGCAGCTGCTGATTCAGGAGCACTTTACGTAGCTAGCTTGGCTAAGCTAGCCAGCTAACTGGTAAATGAACTCATCAAATACTAAATTTAATATTACTTACTCTGTATAACAATAATCCCACTTTCAGTGCTCGCGGACATTAATACAGCTACCTGTTATATAGCTAGTCAGTCTGTTAATTAGCTGGCTAACAAGCCGATAACGTCTGCTGGTCGTTAGAGCCTGCCACGAGGCAAAACCTTAAACAAGCTCAGATGAAATAACCACAGATAATACCACATAGCACATTTACCTCGGTGAATGGATCCATTCCGAAATCATGTACCGCCAAAGTCCACCCAAATGAACGCTACCCCACCCCGTCTTCGTCTCTCAACTGAAGATAAACTCTGCTCCTCTCCTGTTCAGCTCGCGACACTTCAGCTGTTCAAATTTGAATTTCAGCGCTGCTCCCACTGCGCACTCACTAACGGTCATGCTCGCGTCATCAACGCTGCAGTGCGGCTCGATTACAATCCAAAAACCTTCCCTCTCTCCTCCTTCTTGACCTTAAAAAGAAAATCGACGTTGCGGATAGTGCAAACCTGTCAGAAAGAATCTGACATTGCAATACGCATTTAGCCAGTATTGCGTTTTAGAAAGTATGGAAAAGAGTATGAATGTGCTTCTTGTCTGGGTTGAAGGGAGTAGGGGAAGTGATGTAGGGAGTATTTGAATAAAATCTCATTTCAATGCAGAAAAAGTTTCCTCCTTTTATGTTGGTTGACGCTGTGGTTTAAATCGCTCACCCATTTGAACATTCACTGTGTATAACCCTGCTGATCAAATCAATACAACGATGAAACGCAAGGCTTTAGTCATCAAAATAGCCCACTCTCAGGGTGAACATATTTTGGTTTTCCAAAAGGGGGAGGGGGTTCAGGGGGGCGGCACGGTACATACTATAGAAAACAAACGTCAACACTAACCCAAAAACATATTGTAGGCAATGTTGAAACCCCTTACGCGTTTTAGGTCCCTGATAGGGGACGCCCTGCGTCTTTATTAGTTATGCATGTAAGTTACTCGTTACTCCGTCCAAGCTGGGAGGAGGCAGCAGCCAGGCTGTGGGACGTGCGACATTTGAAATGGCAATGGTAGCAAACAGGGTAAGATACCTTAAAGGGGAATTTCATCAGTTTTTTAAAAAAATCGGCATGATTTCATTGCTGAGATGTAAACAAATTCATTCAGAGTGTTTTGTTATGTATTGATTAATTGTAGAGATACTGAGTCGGATTTCTTTGGTGTTAGGAACCAGGGGTCATGGTGTCTACAGTACAAATATAGATTTTTTTAATCTACTTTCCAAAACGACCAGTGAACCTACACACAGTTATTAGATGTAACGTGTATAATGGTAAAACAGTGAGAAATCTCGAAAGAAAAACCTGCTTTGGGGACTTTTTAGCCTCACAACGCCCAACATGCATCTCTCCCACAGATATATTAAAAAATGAAATCAGAGCCCTATCTCAAAACTACATTGCATCGGGCATCGGTCAGTATTCATAAACACTTCATAACTTTGTGAGGTAGCTTTTAGAGGCATTAAACATTTCGGATGTCTGGTTCCTGTCACCGCTACTGAGAACAGTTATGACTCTGTAAGTTTCTCTACAACAGAGCATTTCACATCAAACCGCTCTGAAAGGCTTTGCTTTCGTTTTAATTAAGCAAAGTTTTGGAAATCAGTAGAATTAATTCCCCTTTAAGATCATGAACTGGTGGAAAGTCATAGAGTGAACAACACAAGGGCTTATTTATTAGCTAAGGTCGGAGCTTTCATTACCTGTAGCTAACATCTCACATTATGTATGACCAATATATATATATATATATATATATTACGTCACGTGCTGCAACTTGCGTGCACGCGGTGAATGTCTGTATACAGTGCCCTGTTGCTGTTCATCTGCTTGATCATGCACTGAAAATACGGAAGAAATCAAAGCTTCCAGTGCAGCAAAACTATTCAGAGAAAAATAAATTCTAATTGAAAAAAATAATTGAAAAATTAAATGAAGCTACTTTAGTCCAAACAATTGCAGACACTCAATTAAAACTCATGACAATGTCTAGGAATTTTTATGCGGCAGCAGATGGCAGCATGGAGTACGGTGTGAAAGTATTAGCATTCACTGCGCTCCTCAGACATCCAGTTCCCAAATTGTTAGGCCCAGATAAATCTCTTCCTCTTATTCTGCCAATTCTGGTTTCTTTGCAACAGTTCCGCAAATCAAGAGAGATCATGTCCTCCGAACAGCTGATGTTGAAACTTTTTAACATTTTGCTGTGCTTGTTTTTCAGAAACACTTACACAGACTGTGATTTAAATAAACTACCTCTCTGATTCTGAGGTCATTGGCCTGCTTAACCTTGTTCAGACCTCCTGTCTGCCACTTTCTTCAAAACACATGATGGCCACAGCAGCTAATGAAACTTGCAAAGTTGCCAAATTTTGAAGTTTGTCTTAAAGATTCAGATCCTGCAGACCTCATTTGCTGTACTGAGTGTATTATTCTTTTTCTGTCCCCTTACATTCTGTAAATTACTGCTTTCAAAAATTACTATTATTTTTTTAAGGCCAGTGTTCTAACATCATGTTATACATTTCAAACATTTGACTCGCTTAACATGACATTAAAACAATTTAAAGAATATATATACACCGATCAGGCATAACGTTATGATCACCTCCTTGTTTCTACACTCATTGTCCATTTTATCAGCTCCACTTACTATATAGGTGCACTTTGTAGTTCTACAATTAGACTGTAGTGCATCTGTTTCTCTGCATATTTTATTAGCCCCCTTTTACTTTGTTCTTCAGTGGTCAGGACCCCCATGGACCCTCACAGAGCAGGTACTATTTGAGTGGTGAATCATTCTCAGCACTGCAGTAACACTGACGTGGTAGTGGTGGTGGTGTGTTAGTGTGTGTTGCGCTGGTCTGAGTGGATCAGACACAGCAGTGCTGCTGGAGTTTTTGAGACACTGTGTCCACTCACTGTCCACTCTATTAGACGCACCTGCGTTGTTGGTCCACCCTGTATATGTAAAGCGAGAGAAGATAACTCATCCCTTGCTGTACAGTATGAGCTAATCATCCTCTAGTCCTTCATCATTGGTCACAGGACGCTGCCCACAGGACGCTGTTGGCTGGATATTTTTGGTTGGTGGACTATTCTCAGTCCAGCAGTGACACTGCTGTGTCTGATCCACTCAGACCAGCGCAACACACACTAACACACCACCACATCAGTGTTACTGCAGTGCTGAGAATGATCCACCACCCAAATAGTACCTGCTCTGTGAAGGTCCACAGGGGTCCTGACCACTGAAGAACAGGGTAAAAGGGGGCTAACAAAGTATGCAGAGAAACAGATGGACTACAGTCTGTAATTGTAGAACTATAAAGTGCACCTATCTAGTAAGTGGAGCTGATAAAATGGACAATGAGCATAGAAACAAGCAAGTGGTCATAATGTTATGCCTGATCGATGTCTAATACATATATACTATAAATATTTCTATAGGTGGTTAATCATTTATTTATAGAAATATTATTAAAAATCATTAAGCAAAATGTATATCTTTACCTTCAGTGGATTTTGAAAAAGCATTTTTCAAGAGATATACTCAATCCTATGACCAGTAAACAGCTATATTAAATCCAGCAGATGGTGCTATGAACTGTAATGACTGACAGCCAAAGCCACTTGTGGGCAGTCTGCCACTCACAAGTACAGAAAACAAAGCAACAAATGAAAGACTGTTCCTTATCATCTATGCTGATATTTTTTGTCCATTCCTTTTGAATTGAGAATCCATGGGCTCTCAGCATAAACAGCTCTCACTTATTCATGGTGTTATTACCACTACGTATGACCCTTTCTGCATATGGCATACAGAATTTAAATTTGATCTGTAAAGTCTTTGCATTTCAGTTTAGTAGCACCTCAAACATTAAATCAAACCAGAAGCTGTGATACAATATGAGGATATAAGAATCCGTTTTTGTTATTTGCCTGTGGGATATTATTTTGGAACTGAACAGAAAAACTCAATACTCTTGGCTCAAGGAAACATAGAAGGCAGTTCATTTAAATTTATTTATTCATTTTAAAACCAAGATGGGTTATTTTCAAAATGTGGGCAAAGATTTAGAACAGAAAAAGGGGGAAAAAAAAACAAAAAACAAAACAAAAAAACAAAAACAAACAAAAAAAAACAATTTCAGTCTCCCACCTTTCTCTTCCTTGAGTGTGCCTATGAGCTGAACAAGTTTGTGTGTATAAATGTACTGGCAGTCTGGCCAACAGCAAAGGCTTTTACTGACCCACTTGCAAGAAGTGAGAAGACATGATGAGTGAGAAGTACCTAAAACTAGCCACGCATTCTCCTTTCTGTGTGTGCATGCGTGCGTGTATGTAGGACGGTCCTAAAGATGACTACTTTCTAAGCTGGACTGAATATTGCACTCCCCAGAGATTCAGAAAACAAAGGGAAAATAACATGGCTCCATAAGGAAAAGAAAGAAAGAAAAGTGTCCTGGCACCAACCATCCTCCTGACAAGACACACTAATTATAGTGAATAAATACAGTCGACATTTAAAACCCAGTCTGACCCTAAATTAAAAGTGACTTCAAGGAAGGGGGAGAACAGCACTGCATTTCAAAGGAACGTTCTGGTTCCTCTGAACAACTTGAGTTGTTGTTTTAATAAAACACTGCCTTGTGATTTTTTTTTTTAAGTCATGTGTATTGTCTTTTCCAATTATAACACTAATGTTTATCATAATCAAAATCATCAGTATTTCACAATTGTAAATCTTTTCACCATAGTTGAAATAATTCATTTCAAAATAATTAAAAGTAAGAAGCTAACCCAAGATTGGGCAATTGGGAAAATCAGGAGGGGCTTCTGTTTATTGTAGCCTGTGACTGGTACACTGGTAACCAGAAGGCAGGCACGTCTGTGTGCTTTGACCTCTTTCATTCATACAGCTGGTGAATCCACAGATTAACTTTCACTCATTACATCTGTGATCGATTAGCCATGACTCAGTATAAATCATCACAATAATTACCCACAGCTTGTACTTTCTCCCCTAAGCGAATTTCCCACTAGTTGTGTACAACTTAACATTTTACTGGATGCAGCAGTTGGGACCGTTGGCATCCTTGAACCGCAGACGCATCTTAGGTCTGTATTTTTCGAGGTAAAGAAGCTGTTTGGAGTTGAAGGCTCCACGTCTCTTCCTAAAAACAAAACAGGCACTGAGTGAGATATGAACCTGAGACAGAGAGGTACAATTCAAATTGTTCAATTTGTGCATGTGTACTACGTACTGTCGTATAAACTGCACAGCGTCCTCGTACTTCATCCCACTCTCGATCAAGGCCAAGGCAACCAGTACAGGTGCTCTAAGAAAGGAAGAAAGAAACTGTTGAACAGTGAACTAGTGCCGAGTACAAGTAGCCAAAAGAAATCAATCAATCTTTAATCCTTGCTCATGGAACGTGCCTATTCATGTTCATAGAATGTGGTTATTCATATTCATGGAATGCATTTTGGCACATTTACTGCTGTGTATTAGAATACAACAATGCAAGCTAATCACTGTTGCAAAAACATTCAAAAGCATGTCCTGGGTTTTCCAAGGTTCATTGTCAAACTTTGATATGCTTAGAGTTTATATAAACTGTCGAGATAAGGCTGAAAATTTCTACATCTGTAATTTGTTTTTGAAAAGAAAAAATAGCTGAAAGCTGGTTCTTAAAATTACCCTTAAAAAATAAGATTTAAAGCATTTTTACTCATCTATCTGATAGGATGGATATGACAGACGTGTCTCTTGCATCTATTAAAATGCAAGTCTTCCCCCCTGCAATGAGCAATCTGCAATGAGCATTTTTTGCCCAGTGCTCCCATGTGCTCCCGCAGATGCGATTTCTCGTGAGACATCTTGGCTCTTTGAGAATCAATGGCCATGTGGAAAGTGTTGGAGTTTGTTGCGTTCTAAGGTGAGTTGATGCCTGGCATGAACTTATGATGCATTCAACTAAGCCAGCTATAAATTATTTATTTTTAACATCTCCCTTATATTGCCACTAACAGTTCTATCTAAAGACCTTAGCTGATGAAATGCATTTATTTTTGTGATTTGCAAAAAGACAAAGCTTCCAGATACTAAATAGAGAAACTAATACCAATGTGATTAAATTGTTTAGGGTAGCCCTATAAAACATTTACATTTCTGGCATGTGGTAGATGCTCTTATCCAGAGTGACTTACATTTGACCAGTTTACACAGGTAGGTGAAGTTAGTATTAGGAGTCTTGCTCAGGGACTCTTACTGGTATAGGGTAGAGTGCTTGCCCAGGCAGGGGATCGAACTCCAGTCCACAGCGTAGAAGGTGTTACCCACTACACCATACCAACCAATAGACAGTTGTGATCCACCTGTTTCTACTGGTCAGTTTATCAGTCACGTACATAATCACAACACATCAGACTCAGGCACTGCATACTGAAAAATGACCAAAGATCCTTTCATGCCATTCCACAGAACTCAATAATAGTCTGCAGCACCAACAGCTGCCAACAGTAGCAGGCCAAGGCTACTTAGCCTGATGTTTTTTCCATGATAAACACAATTCAGAAATGTACAAATATATCACAATTTAAATAGAAATTTATTAAAACTTAGATTCTGTCATAGTAATTAAATTACTTTTTGTTTTGAATTCAACTTGATTAAATAATTAAAATTTTTATTTTCAACTCTAGAGCATAACATTTTGTACTATATATCAGAAGCTACACTGTTGAGTCTAGTAATGAAACAAATTACACAGAAACATGCATATCGAATCACTATCAATTAATGTATGAAGAGCAATATAAATAAAGAGCCAATAAGGCTTGCACAAATAGGGAGGATGCCATTTCATTTGTCCTAAAAAGCAAAGCTAAAAGTTTCACTCACCGGCCCAAGCCCGCCACACAGTGGACCGCAATACAGCACCCTGGTTCATCTCGGAACTTGGTCTTCAACAGGTTTAGCCAATCATCAACAATCTGGGTGGGTGGTGGAGCTCCATCATCAAAAGGCCAATCCTGTGTACACAGCAAGAACATAAATAAATCCGAATGACATAAGGTAAGGCTCTGTGCATATTTCACAGTGTACACCTTTTCAAGGGAATACAGTACACAACAGAAAGGGGTGTCCAATCTTATACACAAAGGGCCAGTGTGGCTGTAGGTTTTCATTCCAAACAAGCTGGAGCTCACCTGATTCAACTCGTTTAATCAGTTGGTCTCCGACTTCAGCAACTGATCATGTGAGCTCCTGCTTTGTTGGAATGAAAACCTGCAACCACACCAGCCCTTTGTGGATAAGACTGGATACCCCTGCAGAAGACCATTCTCACTATTCCCTGTTCTTTAATGAGGAAGTGTATATAGCTGTGTTAAATGACCTCTGGTTGCGTTATAAACAATAGCTGAGAGTACTTTCTGGATTCACTGCTGCATTCTTAAATGCACCAATAATTCAACCAACCAAGTTTCCACTCAAACGAGCTGAAAAATGTTCAACATCAGTGGAAAGCTCCGCTCATCATGTGTCACTTTTAACAAAATAACCAACCAAAAAAGAAGGCAGATAAAACTGAACCAAAGAGTTAACGCTGGCTGTACAGTAGGACATATGTACTTGCAAAAAAAGCTTGACGAATAATATTAATTTACTGGCCTATGTACCGTTCCGTAAACCATTATTACCAAGGTTTGCTTAAAAATCATGACAAACAGATAAGAAGTACCCATTGTAGCTTGGTGAGTACTTTGTGTTAATGTAGAAATACAATTGTGTTCAAGGCACTTGCTAAAGTTGCTAATGTTTACATGCCCCGCTACCCTTTCCATATATGTTTTAACTTTTACGTGATGCACTTCGGCAAAGTCAAACTAGTCTTTCATCCCCCGTATATTGGAATGCCCTGAGATTTTGAGGAAGGCTTTAGAAAATAAAAAATTAAAATTCGATGACCCTCCATTACCGCTCTGTTAAACAATACTAGCGGAACCTTGAGAAAAGGCTATACAGCTGAGGCATTTATGAACTGCAAGTCTAAGCAGCAGAATGGTTCCTACTAGAGTAATCTGCAGAGCCACAAAGACACTAAGGCCCATAGGCCAGCTCTGAACTGAAAAGCATTGTGAAGGAGCATGGAGTTCTCACGAGCTGTTCTTGGGCATCTAGCCACAGAGATCTGGCCTTCTCCCAGCCAAGCTGTACAAAGAAGAGCAACAGACGAGAGAATGCAGGAGGGGTGGTTCGAGACAAAGAAAAGGAGAAAAGAGCCCAAAGATCAAGAGATAAGGTGAGGCTAAAAAGATGAGATCAGTACGGAAAGGCAGAGAGAAAGAAGGAGAGAGATGAAGAGATAACAGGGAGTCACAGAACTGCGAGAGAGAGGGAAAAGGGAAGAATGAAAGGAGACTGGGGAAGCTCTTTGAGGCAGGAGGTATCGAGTTCACTGAAATGACGCACAAGTCTAATGTCATCTGGAGGGAGTAGTACGGTTTTCTGGTAAATCCATTGTCAAGATCTTCGCTAACCAGGGCTTAGCAGAGAAGTCAATTATCACTACAGAAAGACAGAAAGCAAAGGAAGAAAGAAAGAAATAAAGAGAAATGAAAGAGGAAAAAGAGAGAGTGAGGTGGAGAAACAGAAAAGGGATTGGCTGGCAGCCGTGTGTCTCTGCAGCCGTGTGTCTCTGCTCAGGCTCGCTGCTGGCTAAAACAGGTTCGGTCTCTCTACTTCACACTTGGTCTCTCCTTTTCACTGTACTCTTATGCTCACACACACAGAAGTGCGTGCCCCCAGAAGCCCCCAAAAGTGCAATTCGGATGGGATTAGTTTTACAGGGCGAGGTCGGTTGTCATTTTACCACAGGATGTCTATGTTTATGAACAATGTGCACAGGATAAGAAATCTCATTGTAAATTACAGAGATGTGAGTGGCTTCTTGATTTGCTCATTGCTGACACACCAAAAAGCTCCATGTGCAATACGTTCAGCTACTCACAAGTAGAAAATATGTTTAAACTTTAAATTTAATATTAATTTCACTTACCCTAACCATCTACCTAGCGGTCATAAGTGAACACGCTGGGTCAGAAGCACTATCATCAGAGAACAGTCAACCTCACCACATAAAATCAAACCTATTATTCTACACGTTTTAATGTTCGCTGTCGTACACTTTAGGTAATATCAGATTGAGTTGGACTGCAGAGAATAAAACTAAATACTTCTGTGCCTCCATGCTAGAAAAAACTGTGCAGGACACAATGGGATATTTACTGACATAGAAATTACTAAACCTGTGTGAATTGCCATGTTTTGTAGTAGATAAAAGACTCTGGATATTTACAGATGTGGCAGCATGCAGTGCCTAAAAATTACTGACATGGTGGATTCTGATGGGATTAAAATCACTAACACCAGTAATAATTACTTTAACCCACCAGCCCATATTCAAGTAATTCAATCTGAACAGTACTTTCCTCTCTCCCATTTTTATGTATACAACCCACTTTCATATCACCATCATTTCCTTGTTTGATCAAGAGGTTCTGACTATACAACATAAATCTAAAAAATAACTAGCCCTAAACATACGCCTACAATTATACTCATAAGCAAGTGTGCTGCACTAGAGAGATGCAATATTTGTCTTTCTAGTGAACAAATAGCCAAATGACATAAGCCTCATGTCACCTGGAGTGTGGGGATTTTCCTAACCTGTTTATAGTTCCTTAACTGTTCCAGGACACTCTGCTCTCTGCTTTAGCTTCCAGGAAGCAATGCCTTTATTCCTTTTCCAGCACATTCCTTTCTTTTTAATTCCTAAATAATTCTAGCTGGACCACGACCAAACAGCACTTCCAGGAAAAAAGGTGCTATGGAGGGCTGGGACAAATGTTTCTAGGATTAAAACAAGTGACAGTCTGAAATTTGCTCCTTAAAGGAATAATCTTTTTTATTTACTCCCTTTTTTTCCTGTTTTTTTTAATATTTAATATTTTTATGAAATGGACACTTAAAAGAGGCACCCATTGGCTTCCACATAACTGCATTCAGTTTCAGTTTCAAAACAGTTTCAAAACGGTACAACTACAGGCATGAAAATGATTTAATATCATACCCTCAGATTATTGTGTAAATTCTGATTTAGTATTTTAAAGTTTTTAGTAGGCCTGTCACGATCATATGTTAGCTGAAAATTAATTGCTATATAAATAATTTTGATTAACAGTTTAATTATCTTTATTGTTATACTTTTGTATGGCCCTTCACATGCCTCAATAAATCCATTTTCCGATTTCTTTCATCTACAAGCATTTCCCCCAACACAGCTGATTATGTCTCTACTTCACACAGCAAATTCACATTCTGTTTGATGTAACATAAACATGATTCTGAAAACTAACAAGTGTGATCAGCTTAAATAACTGTAATCAGATTAAATTACTGCAATAACGCGATTATGTAATAACTGTGACAGGCCTGTTTTTTTGCGAAAAAATCTAACCATACTAGCTTTTGTTTTCAGTGTTCCTTCGCCTCAGAGGGGAGAAAGAAAACAGCAATAACGCATCACTATCAACAATGTTCAAGGAGCACATATTCAAGTACTGTCATGTTACATCAGTTCTGTACTATCTCAGGCTATACCATAATACATAAATAACTGCTAGAGAAATCCCCCCCCACAGTACATTTGATATAACTAATAAAAACATTATTTCTTTAAAATTGAGCTGTTATATCGAAACGAACCCATGATATATGTATATATGCAAGTGGAGACAGAGACAAGTAGGGAAAGGGAATGTTTTGGGTACTTACTTTAAAAACTTGTAAGCTATGCGCGTGTCATGATAAAGGCCTGTCATGTCACTGGCATAAAAGCTCATAAAAACTGCCTTCTCTGAATTCTTGAGGCTTCTTCACTCCCTTCCCCTCTACTACTGTACTGCAACTACTTTGTTCTAACTCCACCTGCACAGAAACTCCCTTAAGGGCTTACTGTAGGACAGCCGTATGTTACGATACTGCTTGCATTCCTTGCTTTGTTTACTGTCATTCTTGTACAGACTTGCGCACTGGGAGGAAATACCAACAGCTGTTTGTGAAGGTACTACACCCTCACTAGTGGTTGTGAGAGTTATGAGTCAGAGATCGCTTTTTGCATGGTAGAACACTGCCGCTCCTGTTTCACGGAGGTTTAAACAGAGAGGGCATCTGCTTCTCTTCAAAACTGAGGACAATGTAAGAGTGGGCTACAGAGAAAGTGAATGAGGCAGAATGAGGGTTTGTGTCTGTGTGCAGGAGCTATTCTACTAGAGATCTATACAACAGTACTCACCAGGACTTGGATGCCCTCCCTCTCTACCGGCGCCTTGTCATAAGTGGCCTCACACACACGCACAAGTGTGTTTACCTTAAATTTCTTCAGCTCCTAAAGAGGAAATCAGACGAGGAAAGGTTACAACCTCTCTGTATCTCTCACAAAATTAAAGGAGAATCACATTTTAACACACACACGTACCTCTGTGAACTTGTTGAGTGTAGAGTTGGTAGGGTTATGCGTGATGAGGAACTTCATGCACTCGTAGGAAATTTCAACAGCGGCAGGGCGGTTCATGTTGGCGAGACGGCTTTAAAACAGTTACAATAAAAAAGTATGATTCCTGTTCCGTAAAAAAAATGCTTTGGCTCAGATTCAGCAAGGACTTGTAGTACAAAAAAAATAAATTAAAAAATGAGTATGGGTGAGATGGAGGGCACTGGACTACAGGAAGTTGTAAAAATCAAGTTAAAAAAAGAAGAGAAGGATGATCTAATCCACAGTGCTCGAGGGATGTATGAAAACAGGATGATGAAAACGTAAAAAAAAAAAAAATAAAATAAAAAGGGGACTACCCTTCAGTCATCCAATGAGACAATTGTAGATTACCCCATTCAGGAGAGGTGTTTCTGACTGACTGTACAGACAGAAAGCTTCAGGGGAGGAAGGGAGTTCTCGTTTGCGCTCAAGCAGAGGACTACGCGTGATCCCAGGGGGATGAGAGAGAGAGAGACACACTAGGCCCAGTGTGCTAGTCGTCAGGGGGGTTTCTGGGTAGCGTAGTCCCGCAGGGGGCTGATGATTCACTTGTTCTCAAAGGCAAGGTGCTGAGCCTGGCAAAAGTCTCCACTCACAAACGCCATAAATGTGCGGCCCAAATCTACACAGAAACACTGCCAAGAGAAAAGAAAGAAATATCAGAACTGTCATTACTGTCCAGTTTATAATTTATTTTGCACCTCTGGACCTAAACAGGGTAATTCAAATCCTGATAATTCCTAGATCATTAGCTACATTTCTAGACAAAGAAATTTTGCAGAACAACATTTTAACACTTCAAAAAGTTTGTCTGTGTAGGCTATGGAAACAGAAATTTTCATTACAATATTATAACTGTAAACAAAACATTTTTGTTTAACTTCAGCAGATACATTGTTTTTTTAATATTTGAAATCCAGAAACGTTCACTGGAAATTTTTTCTGTTCTTCTGGGAAAAATAACACTTGTGCATAAATGAACTGCCTCTTAAAACAATATTGCTGTGAGGTACAGCTGGGCTAAGGAGCAGGCAAGATATTCTTAAAATGGAATTAGTTATTGTACACTGACATAATGAACCAAAGTCCTTTATTTAGGCTACATTAATATTTAAAGGATATTTTTGCACTGGCTCACCAGAGCAAAAGCTAGTCAGCAAGCAAGCTAGAAGTTGTGCCTTTGGTCAACAAAAACAGGACAATATCAACAAGCATCTGGACGATAAAAGTGAGAACCCCTAAATGCATTTATTGCCAAGAAGTTAGAACATACGCCATACTCCTTGTTTACAGAGGGACTGGAGAAAAACAAAAAACAGAGATTAACAGAAAGACAAACATACGGAAAAAAGCTTAAAGATGTTGTTATATGTAAAGAAATCTGAAAGTGAGCTGGTTCATGAGAAAACTGTCAAAAGGCAATCACAAGGTGAGGATTAGGGCAGATGGCTTCAAACCCCCCCCCCCCAAAAAAACCCCGACCCAACCCTAACTGTTTTAGCCACATACTTTTTTTCACCTACAGAAAAAAAGCCCATGCACACATGCACAGACACAAATTTGCACACAAAAACAGGGACCTTGTCATTAGGGCATGCTTTCAAGACAATAAATAAGATCTTTGAAATGACTTCAGGGAACTGTAAAGGAGAAAAAGCATATTCAAAAGCTATTTGAAGACCACTAAATGACAGGCACACAGTCAAAGAGAAAGCCACCAGGCTGGGTGACTGTGTCAAACCCAAAGAACCCAACAAAGGCCATAGTGGGGGGGGGGATCTTTTTAACTGGGAAACTGCAAAAGTCATGGTTCAAAAAAGGATAACTGAGCCTGAATTATTCCCACAGGACAACAGAGATGCATTAAGAGAGACAGATACATTTATGGCACAGTGCTTTGTCTTTAAGCAAATTAATTCAGCTATCAGTAAAACCTACAGATAGTATTAACTTAGCTCTCCAATTGCAGCTGCTTAGACAACATTCAAGCAGCTCACTTCCCCTGGCTCTTCTGGGAACTCATGCAAATCACACTGCTATATTTGCAAGCCATTCCAGTAATTGCTTCTGATCAGAGATGTAGCTAGTTAAAAAAAAATAAAAAATTCACAGTGCCATAACTTCAATTTATGCAACCTTAACTGTGGGACTCCAAAGTCTCCATCACAGTGTGATATCTGGAACAACACCTGGACAAATGGTTTAATTTTCATGAAAAAAAGAACACAAACTACAATAACCTACATTTAAAACCAATATATGACGTATTTATTGTACTCCATATGATGTTCAGGTGATGCTGTGCTACTGTGCAAAAAAAAAAGTCTATTTTATTCATTTTAGTACATTTGTAATACTCTATAAATAAAATGTTACCTCATATTGTAATGCTAATCCAAAAAGAATTAGATTTAGCAAGATTCAGATATTACGGTCAGCCCACAATTCCCCTATATGTGGCATTTGATCAAGTCATGTTACCTTTATAAGTTTCATAGCACGTGTGAATCAATAAGGGTGTAAAGCCAGGAATACTACCACCACTTAACTAAACTAATGAAGCCCCTCAGATGAATGAGGAAACATCATGAGGCATACACCACCAAGTCCAGTCACCTCAACTTACAACTGTTGGACAATTCAATGACGTGGATAACTGAAAACCTTCATAAACAAATGATGGAATGTCTCATGAAAGAAGTGTTTTCAAGAATGGTCACCAGTGAAACTGACAGAATCCGAATCCATGCCACAAAACCCCATCATTAGGTTAGGGTTGATGATGGTAGAAAACATTGTCTCAGTGACCTCTCTGGATTCTTCCATAAGTGTCCTGTGTCTTCGGTTGTATTGAGGATTTGAGGGCAAAAGTATGTTTTACTTCTTTTCATTTTACTGGCTACATTAATAACCCTGTTCATATTTTATGCTGACTATATACCTTTTATACAAAGCCTGAAATTATGTTCCAAAAAAAAAAAACTTGGTTAAAGACAAATGACTTTACAAGTGACAATGCATGCAATGCTGTGATGATGTACAGTAGAACCAGCAAAAGCCAGAAACTTCCGGTGAGAAGTGAGCTTCTTTATCTAGCACCAAGACTAACAAGTAGGAGGCTCTTGCTGTGTCTTGTAATTCATGCATCAGCCACACACACACACACACACACGCTTGAAATTCATGCATCAACCACACGCACACACCAGCTGCATCTCGCGTGAACAAAGTGACAACAAAAAGGGAACTTTTCTCAGAAATGACAGTTTCATGTGTGTCTCGCTGTTCTGTGAAATGCAGCTACTAGTTAACTAGCGGAGGGGTCATTAGGTACGTAATACTGCCAGTTTCCTTTTTGTGTTCCTTCCCCTCCTTTGTGTCTTTTATATTTTTGTTTCTCTCTCTTGCACTCCCTTACTCACTCACCAAGGAGAATGCAATGAAAAATTTGTCTACTTGCCTCTTTTTTCCTCCCAGCACTGTCTTGTAATACATGGAACACAGCAGTCCAAACGGGCGATAGAGCTTAGGAGAGCTAGACCTCCATTAGGTTCCGTGACTTTCCACCTCTCAAACTAGAGCAGCAAAGGTTCTCTTTGTCTCTAACACATATTTGCAATGCTAGTATGAACTTTCACATTTAGACGCATTGTTGTGAAGCACATCTCTGTGTTACTGGCAAATTTGTTTGCATGCTTAAAGGGAAGAAATCAGAACTGTATCCTTAATAAACAAATAAATTAACATAAATCAGTGCTCTGTCTTTCACAAATGTTTGGTGCAAGCTTGTTTTAACAAAAATGGCATAAAGAAACCTGAGACTGTTCTCCCCAATGCCTTGTCCCACTTCTCCCAGGCGCTCCTTAGCTACAATGAAACATGAGGGATTATGGGGCTTTTGAATGGCTAATATGCCCACTGTGGAGTGCTAATCCCCCCTCAGATCCCTTCGATTTAAGCTACAAATCCTGCCAAGGCACTGGAGCTGTGTTGCACTGTGTCTTCATGCAACGAAACACATCCAGCACACACACACACACACACTGCTGATATGGGCCAGGAATCAGCCAGAGGAGCACGTGAGGACACACAGGACTAGGGCTCTGTCTGGAAGCAGCTGATTAGGGGAACACAGAATGATAATGAGAATTCTGGTTTTCTACTAAGCAAAAACTCAAAAATAACAATGTCAAGAAAGCTGTGATCTCTGTACAAGCGTGCAGGCTGAAATGGCAATCTGAGGCAGGGATGGGGCTGTCTGTAACTCTTGTGTCTGGGCAAGTGACCCAGAGCTTGCACACTATCTGAGTCAGCTGCACGGTCTCCCTCCTTCCCATGACAGGCCTGCAGCTGTAGGGGAAAGCCTCTAAGGCAAGCTGCTCTATCTCTAGTTGGCTAAGGATAGGGTGAGTGAGATTAGCGGCCTTGGGCTGGGGGACAAGGAGAACACAATGCAGGAGAGAGTGAGATAAGACCCCTGCCAGTTCACATACCCATACACCCCTGTTGAGACTAAGACAGACAGATCAATCTCGAGAATTTTAGTGTGTAAATTTTGAGTTTTCTCCAGCATAAATAGCGAGTGATACTGTGTTTCAGGCAGTACACCTTCATGCTATGCTTAGTATATAGTACACATAACACACCCAAAGGAAAAACACTTACTCACAGACAATTCGGAGAAACCCCTCCCTGACCAACATGACAAATGTTGTCACAACCCAATACATACAAGCTGTTTTATTGTGTGATCTTTTCCTTTGGCCAAGGTGACAGCGTCCCCCCTTCTGCTGCCACTGACTGCAGAGTCATCAAGCTGAAAAGAAGGGCACAACCACTGATAATTTATGTGTAGACAAAGGCACACTAGGCAAAATGGAAACTAGACCCTTCTTTACCCATTATTATTTGTGTATAGTTTAAAGTATAAACACACTCATGGTGACAACAGAACTTAAGCATAGACATACACATACGTGTTATCAACATTTCCTTCCCTCTCTTCCCTTTCACAGAGAGAACAGGGGACACTGCTAGGACTAATAGAGCCAGACTGCATGATTTAAAAGACAGTCTACATTCTGAACAATTCTATCTACCTTTCTGATAAACATATTTGCTGGGTGCATGAAGATAATACACATTGTTGATGCCCTGGACTAGGGCTGAACAGTTACTCTTATTAATATCTAAATCGCAATTTGAAAGATGCATTTTTCAAATCACTGGTCATCTCGAGGGGAAAAAGGGCTGGGAGCTTCATTTATAGAAAACCATTTAAATTGCATTTAAATTTCAGTCACAATATTGGTATCTGAAGTGTCCCTAGGAACAGGTAAATTATCTAGCCTTTTCATATTTTCTAGTTCACGGTAACTCATATTGTGCTCTAAATCACATCAGCAAGTCTTTGCAACCTTTATGAAGACCTGAATGCTGTGCGAGAGAAGTTTTTGGAGCGTATTTAGGGAAGAGATTTGGGCAACTACTAAATTTTAGTGTTGGCAATGTTAGCTCCAGTTCTTAACTAAGTAAGCAAATTTTGGACACCCAACACGTCTTAGTGACCACATCTGGGTCTGATTTTTCATCAAACTGTTCCTTTAAGCCTTGACAACCGCAGACGTGAATCTCT